GCAGCACTCGGGGCGGGGCGGGGCGGGGCGGGGCGAGGCGCTCTGACGGACCTTATCTGCCGTGCCTAACAAACTGTGCGCGCCGAGACTGGCGTGTGGGCGTCGCGACGACGGCGGCGGGGCGGGGCGGGTTGGCGTGGCGTCCTGGACAGGAACCGCAGGAGACAGCGTCGCCACGCCCCACCGCGCCCGCAACAACAAGGACCCCGCGAGGCAGTCCATTTTGACGCGGGGTGTACCGCGCGACCAGCGCGACGCTCTCGGCGGGGCGTGGATTATCAGTGAACCGAATCAACTCGTCGAGGCTCGGCTCGCATCGGCCCCACTCGCATCGGCCACATGAGCGGCGACGGCAACAGCCTTGAACGGCAGGCCGCGTTCGACGTTGCTTGCTCGGCTGGGCGGGCTTGCCGGGCTAGGCGGCCGCAGACCCCGCCACGGCCACTGACTGAGTCATTGCATGGCCAGCATGGCGCACTTGATGCACTCGGAGGGGGGGGGGGAGCCCCTGACCGCGCTACAGGCCCCCGACAACGCCTTCGCCTCCATTAGTGCCATTAACTGGGGGAACGAGGGTATATACACGGACAGCGGCGGGCAGTGAGGCGGACAGGCAGACGTACTGCTGGACAGACGGAGGGATGGACAGACCCCTTGGCCGCCACCGCCGTGGACTGGGGGCGGCCGTGGACCGCATGACGCCGGCATGGCGGTTGGAGGCACGCAGCCCACGCAGCCTGACGCAGCACAGTGGCCTCGACAGTGGCGCTGGCGGTGCTGCCCGGGGCATGCCGGCAATGCCGGGGTGGACCGTCTGGTCTGGGTTGTCGGCGAACCTGCGGACTGATTACATGGCCATGGCGCTGCCCTGCCGCCGGGCTCCTTGGCGGCAAAAAGCACTCGCTGCCTTCGGCTGCCCTGGTCTGCCGCCCTTCCTTCTCCGGGCCTTTCATTCAATTAAGGCCGTAACAAATGAAAATCGATAAGAAGGGGACGCAGAGCCGCTCTAGTCAGCCTCCCTGGCCCTGGCGCAAAACCCCGCAGCAGCCAGGGCAGCAGGCTGATTCCGAGAGTCGTTTTCGTCGCTGTGGTTTCCTCGCTCGCACCCATACGGAACGCCCCGTGAGTGCGAGAGCAGGGGCGCCGGAAGTGGGGTGCAGGGTGGGCAGGCTGCCCCCCCTGGAATTTGGCAGGGGGGGCATCGCCCCCCCTGGACTTTGGTGGGAAGCTGCGAAAATCGAGCCAGGCGGGCGGGCACCGGTCGCGCAAAGTATCTCCGCAGTGAGCGGCGAGACGCGGCGCGGCGGCCTCTTCCCCCTCCCCCTTGAATTGAATAATTTATATTAGTATTAGGGTCAGTTGGAGCAATTATAGGACACGGGGTAAAAATGGGACAGCATATTCCAAGGGGTACCCGACTCAAGATAATCATTGCGCGTCTAGTTGGTAACCAGTGAAATAATCAACATCATCCAATGAAATGACAATCATACTTGCGGGGATTCAATCACTTTTGACAATTTTTGCGAGACCACTGCTCCCAAACTATCAGCGGTCAAAGCCTTCCCGAGGCGGGGCATGAAAGAGTAGGGTCTTTAGGATAGTAAGGCGTCGAGGGAGGCCTTTGACCGCAACTAAATTGGATGCAGTGACCGCTCAAAGTCAGCAAAAACGATGATTTTTTGTAATTCTTTCACTTTTTGACCATTTTTGCGAGACCACTGCTCCTAAACTATCAGCGGTCAAAGCCTTCCCGAGGCGGGGCCTGAAAGAGTAGGGTCTTAAGAATAGTAAGGCGTCGAGGGAGGCCTTTGACCGCAACTAAATTGGATGCAGTAACAGTTCAAAGTCAGCAAAAACGGTGATTTTCTGAAATTCATTCACTTTTTGACCATTTTTGCGAGACCACTGCTCCCAAACTATCAGCGGTCAAAGCCTTCCCGAGGCGGGGCATGAAAGAGTAGGGTCTTTAGAATAGTAAGGCGTCGAGGGAGGCCTTTGACCGCAACTAAATTGGATGCAGTGACCGCTCAAAGTCAGCAAAAACGATGATTTTCTGAAATTCATTCACTTTTTGACCATTTTTGCGAGACCACTGCTCCTAAACTATCAGCGGTCAAAGCCTTCCCGAGGCGGGGCATGAAAGAGTAGGGTCTTAAGAATAGTAAGGCGTCGAGGGAGGCCTTTGACCGCAACTAAATTGGATGCAGTAACAGTTCAAAGTCAGCAAAAACGGTGATTTTCTGAAATTCATTCACTTTTTGACCATTTTTGCGAGACCACTGCTCCCAAACTATCAGCGGTCAAAGCCTTCCCGAGGCGGGGCATGAAAGAGTAGGGTCTTTAGAATAGTAAGGCGTCGAGGGAGGCCTTTGACCGCAACTAAATTGGATGCAGTGACCGCTCAAAGTCAGCAAAAACGATGATTTTCTGAAATTCAGTCACTTTTTGACCATTTTTGCGAGACCACTGCTCCTAAACTATCAGCGGTCAAAGCCTTCCCGAGGCGGTGCATGAAAGAGTAGGGTCTTTTTAAGCACCTTTTTTGGTGGGGGAGGGGGGTAATTAGGAACGTAGGATTTAAAATTGTTTGCCCTCCCTGAGGAAATACACTTCCGGCGCCCCTGTGCGAGAGAGACAGAGCGACGAAAACGACTCTGGGCATTAGTCTGCAGAGCCCCTGGCAGGTAGGCAGCACGGCGGCGGTGCGCGCGCGGCAGTGCGGCGGGTGGCCTATCCCGGGATTCACAGGCGGCTGGCTCCCGATCACCGCATCACCGCCGCAGCTGCGGACGCCGCTGCAGACTGATCCCAAAAGTCGTTTTCGTCGCTCTGTCGCTCTCGCAGTCACGGGGTGGCAGTAAAGGTGCGAGCGAGACAGCGCAACGAAGACGACTCTCGGAATCAGTGTGGCTGGCGCGCAGCGGCTCTGCAACTTGTTGAACTCTTTTCCTGTTGCTCCGACCGACCGAATAGTGATTCCGTTGCTCTGTCTCTCTCACGCCCGAACGAAACGCTCCATGAGTGCAAGAGAGACAGAGCGACGAAAACACTGTTCGGGCTGCTGAGGCGCGGCCGAAAGGTGCCGCCACTTGGCGGAGCACGGCGTCGTCGTCGTCGTCGTCGTCGTCGTCGTCGTCGTCGGCGGCGGCGGCGGCGGCATCATCGGCGAGGTTATTTGGAGGCGACTTTACTTCCGCCAGGGGAGACGAGGCAGGCGAGGTGCCCGGCCGGGCGGGGCTGATCTCATTAGACGGAGGGGAAAGTTTTTCTCTCGTGACCCGGGTCACATCAGGAGGGACTTAGACGTCGAGGAGAGCGGGCGGAGGGGGCCGGGAGGGGAGATGGGGGCCCTTAATGCTAGTCGTTTACCCCCAGACCGAGCCTGGCCAGGCCACGGGCCAGGCCACGGGCCAGGCCACGGGCCAGACCACGAGGGCATAGAACAAAGTACGTGCGCCCCCTCCCCCTCCCCCCCTTTTCCCCCGAGTGACGTCGCCAGGGCCCAGACACATTAGGCGAGCCGCCCAGCAGACTGATTCCACGAGTCGTTTGCGTCACTCTGTCTCTCTCGCACCTATACAGGTCGCCCCATCAGTGCGAGAGGGACCGAGAGGGACAGAGCGACGCAAACGATTCACGGAATCAAACCGCAAACCGCAAAGGGCGCGCCTCGCTGTGGCCATCATTGCTGTCGGCGAGCATTGAGGCCAATTAAAATGGCCAGGGCTCGGGGAACGGGCGGGATGAACATGGACACGGCCCGCCCGCCTCGAAAAATAATAATGGGAGAGAAAGCTGGATGAATACGGGTGGCCGGAGGGGAAAAGGGGGGAGGGGAGGGATTGGCCTGGAGTTGGCTTTGCCTTGGCGAGCTCCATGTCTACACCCTCTCCCCCTCCGCGCCAGCGCAGCCAGCGCCCCGGCCACTTCCCAGCGTTCCGTGCGTTCCTCTCCGGGATTAGAGAGACCGAGGGACCTGGGCTGGGACCTGGGGGGACGGGACGGACGGGCGGCGGATAAAAGCACGCGCAGGGAGCGCCTCTGGGGCGGGGGTGGGGGGAGCGGGACACACGGGACACGTGCATCCGACTCCCTGCTGCAGCAAGGCGAGCAAGCGGAGCAAGGCGAGCAAGCCGAGCATGACCTGACAAGGAACAGCATGCTATGCGAGTCGACTTAACATCAATCAATCGATTCGTCCGTGTGCCATCTGGAGGCTGCTCCAGGGTGCTGGCTTCAGCCTCACCCCGTCCCGGAGTCCCGGAGCGTCGTGCAGCGTCGTGCAGCCAGCGACAACGTAGCGATAGCCCTCTAGCCACCCCGCCCCGCCACGGCACGGCACGGCCCAGGTTGGGGCCGTGGGGGTGGCCGGGCATGCGCTACATGTAGCAACAGGCGTCACCCTTGGCACTCCCCAGCTATTCCTATACGGCTTCGGTCACCCCCCTCCCCCGGGCCGGGGATGGGGTGCGGGCGGCGCGGGTGGGGAGGGTGCTTTCTAGGCCGTCCCAGTGGGAGGGTGGCGGGCTGCTAGCAACAGGCGGGGCGGAGACGGGGACCCATGCTTCACGCTCTAGGCTCGGCAGGCTCCGCCCCCTCCACGACTACCCTTCGCCTCTCCTCCCCTGACGCCCCTGACGCAGGCCGCGCACCCGCTACGTTTCGGCTCCGCGCTCCGCCGCCGTGGAGGCCGTGGAGTTGGACTCGACGGACGCGACGCGACGCTGTGCTCGGGGCGTGCGGGGCGTGCGGGGTGGGGGAAGGGGGGAGGCGGGCGCGCCAGGCCAGCAGCTTGCCAGCTTTTAGCTTTTCAGTGAGCAGTGAGTCGTGGCCGCGCGTCGCGTCGTGCTGCGGGCTGCGTGCATTTCAGGGCCAGCCTGCCAGCCTGGACGGGACGCCTGGACTTGACGCGCGTCGCGCGGCGTGTCTCCGCGAGCGTGCGCCGTGTGGCCGTGTGCGCCGTGCACGTGCACCTCGGAACGACACGTGCAGCTGGCGGGCCGCGCGGCGCATCTGGTGCACTGGTGCAGCTGGCGCGTTGCAGCGGCTGCAGGAAGTGGGGAGCTGCAACAGATGTTGACGCGTGCCCGTCAGCTGGGTCGGCGTCCAGAATCCCCAGCTGCAACGGCCCCCGCTCGCCAAGGCGGCCAAAGCCCCCCCGGACTTGGCCGACTTCACGGACGTGCCCCCAGGCCGCGGCTCGGGGCATGACCTGGGTCGACACGGCGCTGCGCTGCATGGCGCTTCCTGGAGGAGAAGAAACAGCACGCGAAGCAGGACCCGCGCTCGCCTAGACGGGAGCCTTCCCCGTCCCGAGAGGGTAGCGGCCGAGGTCGGAGTCAGTAGGTTTCACGTTCCACGTTTCGCGATTCTTTGCCACCAGGGACTCTTGAATGAGCTTCTAACATGCTGATTTGTCATGGTTTATTGCAGTATGACTTTCTCCTCACAAACAACAATTTAATTAAACTGACACAATAATGGACTGTGGTGATAGTGCAGCAAAGCACCGTTGGGTATGCCCCAGTGATCGTCATTTGGCGTTGAGGGCCAAGTAAGTTTTGTTTTTGAGTTGCAAGTGAGTTACAAGTGTAGGGAGGGAGGAGGGGCTGATCTTTTAGAGTGATAAGGCAATTCTTCTTTGAAATTAGATTGCGGACTGGGTGGTCTGTGAAGACGCAGCCATTGGAAAGTTTACCAAAAGCACAAGAGCCGACTGTTCTTGATGATACTGAGCAAGCGATGATACTTGAAGTCATTCGTAGGGCAGAACACATAGACCTCACCGAGCAGGAACGAGTTGGGTAAGTGCTTCGGCAAATGCCAAATGCAGCAAATGTTGATGAAAAATTTTAATGAATGTTTTTTGTAGGAGGCTTGTTGATCGTGTGGATAATATGAAGCGCAATGCTATGGGAAATGGATCAAACCAGTGTGTACTATGCGGAACAAAATTTGGATTTTTAGGATCAACAAGTTACCTGTGCCATGACTGTCAAAAGGTGCCGAAAAAGAGATAAAAATTATTTTCAAATGTTCAACAATATCGTTTTGTTTTGTTGTTACTAATTTCTTTGTTTTTATGTTATTAAAAAATAGTTTGTGTGCTCAAAGTGCAGTATTGAGACTTCTTCCTCTTCCAAAGATCAAATTTGGCTCTGTAAGATATGTTCTGAGACTCGAGAAATGTGGAAAAAGTCTGGAGCATGGTTTTTCAAGGTATGATTTGTTTTTAAATACATGTCCAATTTATTAATAATTTGACTTACATTCTTTTCACCTCATTTTAAAAGGGGTTGCCCAAGTATGTACTCCCTGAAAAGCCTGCAAGCAGACAAAGACCTAACATGCATTTGAACTCCACGAGTCAACATCCAGCAACAACCTTCAACAGCACTTGGGCTAAACATGGTAAAATTTTCGTCCAAACAATTTTTTTGTTCCTTGATCATATTAAAATTAGATCTACCTGTTTGTTAGGAATGAGCGGTGAGACTGAAAATGATAGCAGCTCTGAAGACGAACTGATGAGAAGATCCAGACTGAACACTGGTGCCAGTGTAGCTAGTGCAGCAAGTGCATTGAGTGCTACAAGTGTTGGAAGTGCTCTAAGTGCAGCCAGTATTGCAAGTGCAGTCAGCGCAGGAAGTTCTCACAGTGGTCTAAGCAATGTGGGGAAATTAGGTGCTGGCAATAGCGGTACGTCCTTTGCCAGAGATAATTTCAGCAGGAAGTCAAGGTATGTTAACTAATACTTTGGGGTACTTATATATGCTCGTACAGTTATATCAACATGTCTAGGAAAAATGTTTTACTCCTCTCTTTGATTTCAGTCACATCAAAGTTCTCCGCAGCCCCTCAGGGCTTGCAGAAAGTGGAACCACTGCCACTGCCACAAAAACCTTATCATTTCCTGTACCAGATAAGGTGGATTCTCCGATACAAAACAATTCCCAAAACAGTCACCGTAGCAATTTCGGCTTAAATATTGGTAAGCTTCAGCTTTCTTCTTAATGTTCCTGGCAAGAGTGTTCATTTGTTTACTTCTATAGTTGTTATGCTTTTGAAAAACAAGAAAAATCTTGCACAGGTGAAATTTTATTGGCTTTTAAAATGCATGTTGGATTTAAGTTCTTTTCCCTTTAATTTCTTCATACTGTACTCTTCTGAAGTTGTTTGATAGATGTTGTGTATTTTCTCATACACATAATTGCATGATATTATTTATTTTTCCTCAAGGCAGATTTAGCCAATTGAGATGTAACTTAGCTCTTTATACTATTACCATTTACTTGACCCAGTTTTTTTCAGAAAAATTTTATAAATAAGTTCATTAGTAAGACTTATAGTGAAGAAACCACCCTGTTATTTTCCTAACATCAGACCGTAAATTATTATCTAGATTTGTTCTCCCTAAATCAAATGTAATGTTGCTGCATATAGTGGACCCTGTCGCAGATGAAAATTCATTCCTGACTCAAAGCCAAACCGCAATCCTGCACGGTACCCCGCAAGTGTCTCCTCAAGAGTCACTGCATCACCGCAGTTCACCTACACCAATTACTTGGCACAACAATTCGCAGCGCACTTACTCCTTTCGTCGCCTTCCTGGTTTATCTCGCAGGTCAGTTAAGAGGGATTTTAGTTTTGAATGTCCAGGTGAAAAACACGAATGATGGAATAGTAGGAGGAAATAAAACAACGAAGTGTAAATTCATTTTTATTACAAAGAAAAAAAAATTACAAGAAATATTTAATAACAACAGTTCAACCATATCATCTGTAGATACCTTTATATATTTCTGAGGAACAAGATTCTGAAAAAAAAGGAAACAACAAAACTTGCTCACACCATTTTTAAAAATTTCATACCCCTACCATTTGAATATAAATTTAACAATTTGTTTATGTTTGCTATCTGTGCTTCTTCCTCTATCTTCTCTTTAGCTTGCCGTCACTCACGGTTTCACTGGAGTGTTTTCTCACTTTCCATACTAGTGTGCAGATGTATGGATACAACCACTCTAAACATGCATGTTTAGTTCAGTCATATTTATAAATTAATTAATGTAGAATTCACTGGATTCATTTTCAGTATTTTACCTAGAACTAGAAGTTTAGTTTTTCTGTTAACGTTTCTCCCACATAAATAGAATGAAACTGGAACCATATTATTTCACAGATACATTTATTTGCGTTGAAATTGTTTTCCAGCTGGCGTGATTGGCAAGCTCCTCTCCTCTCTTCTGACGAAATTAGTGCCAGTTCTGATTGCTTGCGGCTGCCCAGAAGTGTGAGTGGGCACACCATTGCAGCTGCAAAACCAGATGACATTCCCACCCTTCTTGGTGCTCATGGGAGTGGTAAGTTGCGCCTAATCAGTTTGATGACAGAGAATCCAAATACTAGCAATCTTTCCACAGCAATTGTAAGTGCCTGTCTTCCTCCGTAGCCCAACTTGGCAGTGTGGAGCTATCACTCTTATACGATCGTCATTCTGGTTGCTTACATTGCAGACTACTTAGAGCTAAGGTGAGACCTAGGCAATTTGCCTGGTTGAGGTAACTCTGTTTTAACTTTAACCAACTAAGTAATTTGTATTCAGGGTTTAAAATCAACTGATATAAATGGATTAGCAGACCCATTCTGCAAACTAAACCTATTACCCATTGGTAACAAGGTACGTACGCTTGCATGATCCAAACATTTACATAGTTGCCATTTTAAGTCTTGCCTTTCACTGTCTTGAATGAGGTAAGAGAGTGACATTGTAGTTTCCTTTGGTATTTCAGAATAATAGACTGAGAACACAAACCATCCATAAAACTTGTAATCCTGAGTTCAATGAATCGTTGACATTTTACAATGTAACTGACAGTGACATGGCAACAAAAGCTCTTCATATCCTTGTTCTTGGTAAGTTGCATAGTGTACATCACTTCTGGTATGAGTAGAATTGATACTAGTTTTATCATGTAATCTGATTATTTTCAAAGACGATGATAAGTATGGCCATGACTTCCTGGGTGAGGCACGAATTCAGCTATCTGGGGTTCCACCACAACATGCTCGCCATTTCAAAGTATTTTTAGACAAGCATTATCCTGTAAGTAGTGAAAGTCATATTTCTTGTATGTAATGTGTGCTAAGAAAAATGACTTGAACGGAACGGCATACTCATGGTCAGTTTTTATATTTAAGGTTGAAGACGAGGAGGCAGCCTGGGGAGAAGATCTATGGACAAGAGGTCAAATTCTTGTCACATTATGCTACTCCACAAAACGCCGAGCTTTGATAGTAGGAATAGTGAGGTGTTTGAATTTAACACCAATGGACAGCAATGGATCTTCAGATCCTTTTGTCAAACTGTAATGCTGCAAAACTCTATGTTCATTTTGTCTTTTTATACTTGATAAATTATCAGGACTGAGGTTTTTTTTCTTATTTTTCCAGCCAATTAAAACCAGACACCCATCATCGGAAATATAAAACTGGTATTAAATGGCAAAGTTTAAATCCGCTTTTCAATGAGGAATTTGTCTTTGACACAAAGATGACAGAACTGCAGCAGAAAACATTGGTCATCACAGTATGGGATAAAGACCATGGTAAAAGTAATGATTACCTAGGTAGGTGTGTGAGTACATTCAACTTTTAATTTAGTCAATACATACCACCTTCTAATTATTATTGTTTCCTTAGGCGGCCTTGAGCTAAGCTGTCTTTCAAAGGGTGAACGTTTACGACATTGGGTGGATGCCATAAAATTTCCGGACCACAAGCATGAAGGCTGGCACCAGCTTGTTGACACACCTCTGCCCATGTAATAGCATACAAAAGATTGCCTCTTCCTGTGTTTTCACACATCTTGCAAACCACTATGTAAATTAAATTAAATTTTAAATAAATCAGGCCTCTGAATCAGTCATATGGGAATTATAAAAGTTGCACAGAATTATTAGAATACCATGATAGCTAACATTAAATAAGGCTGCTTTATTACAAACAAAATAAATTTGTATTTGATAGACAACATGAAACTTACACGTTCACATAAGAAAGTCCCAGTAAGTGGCAGTTGGGACTTTTCTTTTTACACATGTACAAGAGTATATACAGGACATTAAAAAAACAAAAACAAAAAAAGGCTGATAATAACATACAGCCAACATAACACATCTTCCAAGATTATCTCTGATTGGTGAAAGTTTAATCAGTAATAAATGTTTGACAGGCAACAAATATAGGACACATTAGGCAGAAATTAAGTTCACTAACCACTTCAAGTTGTTGGTGAATGTCTTTCAATACAGTGGCTTGACATATGACAATTGTGTTTGGGACTGTATTTAGTTGATTGACAGCAAGAAAAGAAATTAGAATAAAAGATTAAAATGATTTGAGAAGTTCTCATTGTAAAGCAATAAAAGAAAACAATCATAAGAATGTTTAAAATAAAGGAGAGGAGACCATTCCTACATTTTGTCAAGTGTTGGACATACAACAGTGACTAATAGAACAAGCTATTTGTTCTTTGAGATACCATTCTTAGCACAGTCCTGCAGATTTACTATTAGGAGTCATAGTTTGACCTTTTGGAGATGGGTTACAATTTTCCCAACACCAGAAGAGCCTGCTTACCTTACTTAAATCAAATTTAAATGAGCCATAGAAGTCTCAGATGTGAACAAACCAGTTGAAATATTACTTTATTCATTGATTTCACTTCTTGGGCACAATGTTAGCTTCACATGTAAGTACTACATAGAATGAAAAATAAGTAGAAAGTCCATGTGCATGCTTTTGCTAATGATCATAAAGGTTGACTAGGTATGACACAAAAAGTGGCTTTTAAGAAGTGAAACAATTCGTACCAGGTAAAAAATAGAAGAGAATGTTTCAGATTCCAATCCTATGCGATATTTACACAATGCTTACATTCTGTAGGATATCACTAACCAGTAATCTTAAACAATATTATGATTCAGACCAAATACCAAGTAGTCTGTGTTTGCTAGTATTTATAGGAGCCATTGGTAGCTGTGAGTGTTCCCATGCAAAGTCCCAAGAATCACTCACTGATATCAATGTACTAACATGTATTCAGTAAGAGGAAGAGTATAAAAAAACTGTATGCAAAACAAAAACTTAAAAAGAAAAGTGTCATGATTCACACTGCACAACGTGGTTCTGGTTTGGTTCACAGAAATGTACGAACTATACAGATAAACAAAATCACAGGTGGGAGCAGAATTGGCAAATTAAACATAATCATCAAATGTCAGACTTTTAACATCACCAACACTGGCTTATTGATACATTCCAAAGGAAGGTATTGATATAAAGATAGTATTTAAACCAATTTCAGGAGGCCCGCTCCAGCAATTGCAAACTAAGGCGAAAGAGTTCATCAGCAGCAGGATTATTATCACATGTTGTTTCCCGAGGAGGTAAATTGCAAAGCTGGCGTCTAGAAGGCAAATAAAATAGAGAGGTAAATTAGACTCCTTTTAATCACAAAACAACCAAAGTTCAGAAGAATATTTTTTAAAAAAATATCAAAAAAACAGTTACCTGATTGCCAAGTCCCTTCGAGCTGAAAGTGCTCGCTTGTAAGGGCCGGAACTGCTAAATAGTGCTTGACGTCGAGCTTTTCTTTCAAGCAACGCTGCATGAATGCCTGCCACTGGATGTAACAACTTGAAACACTGTTGTTTGTCTTGGTTCTCATTTTCTTGTTTCACAGTTTTGTTTCTTTGAGGTTCATGAACAGATTCTTCTCCTCCACCAGCTTGATCGCAATTTGATTTCACTGAACATTTTGAGTCACTTGGGGTATCTTTGATTTTGGAATCAGACACCATTTTTGACTTAGCACCTGATGCCATAAATTCACTGTTGGCTTTTAAAGAATTCTCTGCAGCTGGTAAACTCTTTGAAATACTAATATCTAACTTATCAGTTTCATTAATACTAGGATGCTCCTCTAAATTCTCTGTTTTGCTATGACCACATTGTTTATCATTGTCACTAACACCTTCCGACTTTGCATTGGTTTCCTGTTTGCCCGGTTCCACAACACCACTACAACTAGCTTTATCAACTGCGTCTTCAGGTTCTTGACTGCTAGAGACCTCGTCAACTTTGATTGTAGAATCTAAAACAAAAAGAAAACAGTATATAATAAAACATTTTGGGGTAAGATTCAATATGAGGGACATCAATAAAAATGATGAATTACCTTTGTCTGAAGTGTCCTGCTGTGGACTTAACGCAGAATTCAAGATATATTTGACTAATTTTGGACCAGCATACTCAACAGACACTCCAATGTATGTCAATAATGTGACTCCCTCCCAGCGTTGACGTGTGCTTCCGGCCTTCTCAATTTTCAATCTAGGTCGAGTTTCCGCAACTAAACTTGCCCAGTCAACACCCAAAGCATCACTAATACCTGAAATTCCAAACCATTAAAATAGAGCCAGTTTTTTAAACGCACCCACATGACACTATCTTAATCAAGCATCACTACTAACCTCTGGCTCGGGCCTCCTCTTCTAATTCTCCATCAGATATCTCTTCAAAGCCGAGATTTCCTGAATTTTCTCCACCCTCACCAGTTCTCCTGTGCCAAGAAAATATTATTGAATACTAAATATAATACAGGCAAGCAATAGTTCAGTGTTTAAAAATCAAATTGTAAGAAAAAAAAAACTTGTACCTGTGATGAGTATGAGAAGCTGCAGCTTGATTTGCTTGGGAAAGCAATGCAGATTGCTGATTACCTAAACGGTTCTCTTTGCCAGCTGCTGGTGCTGTATCCCCATGTGACAACTGATTAAGCTCCTAAAATTCAAACACATCAAAATAAATAATAAATTTTCTATAGAACAAACACTGTAATTTTGCGGGGCAACTATGTTTGCTTACACTGTCTTCTCTGTTCAGAATTTCATCTGCATCATCACTAATATCACTTAGGACTTCATCAAGAGCAGAATCCTTCTCCAAGTAAGGTCGTTTGCTATCAGCTGACACATCATCTCCATCTCCAATTTCACGAGTTCTTTTATGATTCATTGTATGATTTGTATCATTTTCAATTTTTGCTGAAAAATTTGAAAAATGTTAATTATTACACAGACTTAAGAAAAGAGTCAAGGAATGATAGAAATACCATCAATTACCAGAAATATACTAACCATCAACTTTTGTATCATTTTTATTATCACTTAAAACAGTCTGATCCTTCCCCTTCAATCTGAAATAAAAATAAGTATTAAAGTTAAGGATGGTGCACTGACCCAAATATTAATTTACTCAGATAACATTGAGGGACAAAAACTTAGTACCCTTCTTCAGTTCCAAGGTCATCAGTTTTATGCAGTAGATTTTGAGAGTCATCCCTCAAAGGTAGCATACGACCTGGAGGTCGATTCTGCAGCAACTGGGCTGCAGGGCTATTCTGATTATTGGAGCGCCATTCATCATTCCAACCGCCAGAGCGTCGATCTCCTGGTGGCCCTGACCAGTCGTTTTGGCCAGGAGGAAATCGACCCCACTCCTTTTCCACAGAGGAATTGTCAGGTCGATGAGGTCCATCCCAGTCTTTGCCTGATCGTCTGGAGAGGAAAAAATTAAAGATTGAATCAACAAAAAATTTAATTTAGTAAGCAACGCCATTGGAGCTAGATGAAATGACAATAAGTACCTCCCACGCTGATCCCACTCCCAATCATTGCGCTTTCCTGGATTGTTGGGTCCAGGTGGCCGTTGACCACCATCATAAGGGCGAGGTCCGTGTTCTCTCTCTCTCCCATGTTCACGCTCATGGTTATGATCTCTTTTGCGTTCATTTCGAGCATCCCACTGACCGACTCTTCCTTCCTGACGGTTGCCATCACGACCTCGTCTAATCAAAAATAAACAAAACAGTAAGAAATACAAAGAGAGAGCAATAAAATGCCTCTTGTAGGGAAAAAAAGCCAACCTTCGATCTTCATTAAAACCAACGGAGTCAGAAGGCCCCATGCGACGATCATCATTAAGAGGGACTCCTTTTTCATAACGGCTTTGGTCTGAAAATCTGCCTCGATCTATGAACAAAAAAACATGATTGAGAATGCATGGGAGATTGGTGAATTAATTTGATACACACAATTATGAAAATCTTACCTCTTCTACCTTCAAACATTCCATCAAACCCTTTATCATCAGATTCTCTGTGATCCAGATGGGTGGCACCAAATAGCCGGTCCCCTGGAGAACGGTCTGAAAATCTATGGTCTCTATCCAGGCGAGGTGACCCTCTTTCAAGTCCCCTCTCCAAAGCCCTGTCGAAACCACGTTCTAATCTTCCCTGTACTGGGTCACGATCAAGACCTCTCTCTAAACCTCTGTCATTATCTCTATCCAAGACCCGAGGAGAAGCACGATCCAGGCCTCTTTCATTCTTGATATTTCTATCCATACCACGTTCTAGGCCTCTATCTACACTTCGGTCCAATCCTCGCTCCAGCCCTCTATCTAATCCTCTATCCGGCCCACGCTCCAAACCTCTTTCAGGAACTCTTTCATTTCTTTCAAACGTCCGCTCCTGCTCTCTATTACGGGCAAGAGCTTTAGCTAATTCCTTTTCTAAACCACTGTGATCCAGGCCTTTTTCTAGCCCACCATTATTATTTCGACATCTTCTGTCGCGCTCACTTCCTCTGCTTCTTTCAGAAACACGGTCCAAACTACGTTCACGGCCCCGATCCATGCTGATATTTCTCAGTAGACCCGTCCTCTCCAAACTTCGATTCCTTTCAACTCCACGTTCTTTTCCACCACCACCAGCATGAGCATTGAAATCATTTGGATGTAAATTGAGCGTGAGGAGTGACGGAATGCCCTGCTGTAGTAATGATTTTGTCTTATCCTTCTCTCGTTCACGATCATGGACGCGTTCTCTGCAATAGATACATGAGTGAAGAGACTATAGAATACAGCAATCATCCTCATGGAAGTTACTTGTCAACTTACCTTTCACGATCTCTGTCACGGTCACGAATATGCTCTTTTTCAATTAGACCTAAAAAGTTAAGGAAAGACCTCTATACGATTTGATCGTAAAATATTTGTAGAAAGTGTAAAAATGCACAATACATACCAGTGAGTAAACGAGCATCTTTCCGAGAATCATCTTTATGACGTCTTTCATCTCCACGCTTTCTATCTTCTTCCTTGTCATCTTTCCTACAAAAGAACAAACAGACACAGTTCAAAAGATTAAGGATATAATAAATTGAGGGTTAAATTAAGTACAGTATCTGGATAAAAAAGCAATTTTAAGGTGAAGATGCATACCTGTGCCAATGGTCACCAACAGGAGCCTTGTGTTTCGAACTGGGACCATCATCCCTACCCTTCTGACTACCACCAGATAGACGGCCGGGTTTGTGATGGGGATCAGGTGACTCCCTGCGTTTTAAATCCTTTCGAGGAGAACGAGAAATGACTTCCTTCATCTTCATTTTGGGGGATCTACTTCTATTGCGATCTTTCTCTCGTTCTTTTTCCCTGTCTCTCTCTCTTTCTCTCTGCTTTTCAAGTTCTCTTTCTCTTTGTTTCTTGTTCTCTCTTTCTCTTTCTTTCTCTTTCTCCATTTCTCGTTCACGTTCTCTTTCTTCCTTTTCACGATTCCTATCCCTGTCCCTGGAACCTTTATGATTGGGAGGAGATCTGGCATTATGCTGAGGTCCAATATTGCGACTGTTCAACCCTGAAATGACAGAGAAAAGGAAGATAAAGAAATGAACTTTCGTACTTGTAAGACTCCAGCTTACGCCTAGAAAGTAAACTTAAGAAGCTGACCAAGTTTTGACGACTGCACCCCAAGTTTTCCTCCTTTCAGCATGGGCGACTGAGAGCGGCGCTTGTGACTGTTAGCGTTGCTGCTGCGCCCAGGCAGCCCAGGCCCTAGGGGACTAAGGGATTTCTTCAAGCCTGATGTGCTTCCTAGACCACCCTTTCTTGGTGAGCTGCGACCGGCAGATCGGTCTCGCGATCTACGCTTCTTAGTGTGCTTCATTTCTTTATGTAGAGCACTTGCATTTACTGCCGAGACAGAGTGGGAGCCCTTCTTGTTTGGACTCAGTCCTTTCCCAGCTCTGCAAATGAAAAATAGCAATTTTTATTTTTAGAATTATTATTACCTTATTTGAAAAGGAATCTGAAGTTGTGTAATTTTATCAAAGAAATGACAAAAACAACAACAAAAATCTGGTGCAGCAGAGAGTGTCATCAACAGGCTTTAAAAAAAAACTTGCTTAAGACTAAGATGAAATCAAAGGAGCAATGGCATTTAAGATTATTTTAATTTTTTTTAAACTAACTTTTCTTTCTTAGAGTGGGAGTTTAAAGAACAGGTCAACAGATAAGGCTTACTGGCTATTTCACTAGCTCTACTGTACTGATTGTCACACAGAATAAGATCACAGAGAACAAAAGGTGACTAGTAGCAATAAACAGCACACCAAACACGGTACTTCTCATCTTGAAGGGCCCAAAGGACAAATAATGGAGCATCATGAAAAGAAATCTTAGTACAGAACCAAAGAGAAAAGAAAAGGGAAAATGGAGAGACATTTAACGGTGTATAACTTACTCTAGAAAATATATGATGCAAGAAATGGCATGAGGGTGATTGTAATGATTGAAACAACCTAATTAAACGAATATGTGTCTTGTAGTTTACTTAAGCAAGACAAGAAACTAACTTTCAACCCAAAACCATATGCAAGGAACACAGCTCAAAAGAAAAACATATTTGGTCAACCAAAGAATGTTGATTGGTAATGGTTGAATTAAGTCTTTCAATCCTGAGGTCAAAGGCTGCCTTGGCTATTAGTGCATCTATTGCTTCAACAACTTAAAAGTATTTCCACTGTAGCAAATTCTAAGCTTAACATCATATGGCTAGTGCTACAATCAACTATTTGCACACAAACAGGGAGACAATCTGCCTACCTTAGGTTATTTCTTTTGGAGTGCTCTTTGTCAGAAGAACTGGAGTATCTCTTCAACTTCCTTGAATTTACATGCTTGGCCCTGTGGCGATGGTGCCTGCTTGACTCAACTGATTCTGAGCTGCCAGAGCTGCTAGTATCTTCACTTGATGTTGACTCACTTCCAGTGCTTGAGCTACCAGAAGAAGACGAGCTACTACAACTCTGTAACACAAGCACAAACCTACTTTAAAGAGCCAATGCATTTAAAACAATTCTAAATCAATGAAGACTCCAGGGCACAAGAAAGTTCAGAAGAAGTTCACCTCTCCAGTCAAAATTCACAGAATTGACTAAAAGTAGAAGATAATAAATTAATAAATTTGCTATACAAACACCTTACAATTTTTTTTAAAAAAAGAAAGAAAAAACTATGTATAAGAAAAACATTTTTTGATGGTTGAAAGAAAGGAAACACAATTTGAGGTAACTTTAAATGATCTCAGTCCTAGAACACATGTTCTCTAGAACAAATACAAAAACATGTGCTATTCCCCGAATTTTACACCATTTCAGTGCCAGCAAAAAAACAATGATGTCTAAGGCTAAGGTGAGAGCATGATGAGAGAGTTCAGCCCAAGCAGACTGTAAGCAAGCAATTGGGTTCAATTCTGATGCCCGCAACAGTACAGAAAGCTCACAGAGATATCAATAAACTGATCTTTAACAGGACAGATTAAACAATGAGATCTATGTAGTCAAAAAAGTTAATGAAGTGTTATTACCATGCTTTGAGACCTCTGGTTATGTTAAGTTTCAGGGTTATATCCGTCATACAGTGATCATCACCTCAAAGCAGATAACATTACAAACCATATTGACATTAAATTTATGTTGTATGAAGATAAAAAAAATTTACACTCGTTAACCACATGAGACGAAAAATCAAAATAAATGTAAAAGATAATGGAAAGAGTTTTTTTTTTTACAAAAAGCAATGAATAAGACTCCATTATGGATAAAAGTGGTTTTTCCAATTTGAAAAATAAAATTTAAAAAATTACAAAAAAAAAAAATAACAACAGGGAATACCACATCCATCAACTTGCAAAAAATTTTAAAAATTGAACAAGTCCAAAAGTTAAACATGCACACACAGTCTCACTCAGATGCTTACATTTATACACTCACAGCATGAGCACACGCGCACACATACACATGCAAGCATACATTACACAAAAATATTCAGGATGAGAATTGCCAGATATCTTTATGTACATCTGAGATCATTTCATAATGCTAGTCAACAATTCAGAAACATGCTTTGGTGAACAATGCTGTTGGTTATGATGGAATTTATGAAGGGATAAGGTAATAAAACAGAAGCCAGTTGCATGGAGTTGGATATGGATCGCAAATGAGGCAAAACCCACCTTATTGTTGGTCTTTGAGCTGGCATCCTTAATTGCGGCTCGTTTTGAGGGACTGATCAATGCGTGAGTGCTGACATACCTAAGGGCATACAATATCACACACTGATACGATTTGTTGATAATAGATAGGATATTCAAAATTAGGAAGGTACAGATAGAACTCAAGATTAAAACCTGATTTCTATACTGCCAAAAGTACTAGTGCAGAAGAGAATAATTAGTATGATGACCAAATAGAATTTAATTTTCTCTCCATGATTGTATGGAGTTACACATCAATCGACACGTCCATCTAAGGTTTTAAAATGTTTGAACTGAACTGAATGAGATGAGATGGAAATTGAGGCGGCAGAACTGAAAAGCTGAATAGATCAAGCAAAAGGTAGTAATGACTAATGAGAATGATGCCACAATAATCAAGAAGACCAAGGCACAAGAATAAAACTTTCTTGTGGCTACTATCTGATAAAAAAGACATTCAGACCAACAAAATTGAAAATTATGTAAAGAAAAAATTACAGAAAAAATACAGAAAATGCTCCTACATAATACAAATGCCAACTAACTTAACACTTTTATTTTTACATGATGGCATGATGTGAACACTCAGCTACTTATACTACCCAAAAATTTACAAGCAAAAGGGAATGTACACAAAGGCTACGAAACAACATTGACAAATTCTGGCCAACATGCATCAACTAATGTTGTAAAACTGGTGATCATGGATTTGTATGTACCTTCACAGTCTTACTCTGAATTTGAGTTTCTGACTTCAAATATGACCCAGATTGCAGGGATTTCCCTACCAGTGAAACGTTCACCTCGGTTTTTGATGCAATCAGAGACAAATCACTTTCACCTGAATAATAAAGATACAAGATACAACCGTCAAGAAAAGATTGAAGTAGTATGAGTTAAAATATGTTCAGGATCTGTTCAAGTTGTACATAACAAGTTACATAAAATTCCAAATGAAGACCCAGTTAATTGATGCAGTAGCTTAAGTATTATTGCCAGGCCAAATTAAAATTCAAATCTTTTAGAGTCAACAACAGTGACAATCCAGGACAGATAAAATAATTTAACTGGATGATAACAATTTTAAGACACAGGTGAAACTAAACAAGGATCGAATAGTAAATACGTCTTCAAATAATGAGAAGTTAACAACATAACAAAGCATATCATTCAAATAGCTGCTAATGAGACACATCACATGACAATAAACTGATTTCTGACAAAGTATTGTACCTATATCCAATAATCATAATGTCTATCTAGGTGTTTTCTATCTCTCCTTCTGTTGCAACCAATAGTAAGACAGTCTACCAGGAGTAAAAATTGATGCTCAAAGCACAAAATTGTAACACAATGCCTATATAGTAGGACATTTTGATGGGTGTGGTACAATTGTGGTACGATTTACCTACACTTTAGAAGCACTAGCCACAATTGTGTTGGTGCAAGAGAATAGGCTCATCCAAATAAACACATCTTTAATTGAGTTGCTGTTTGGAGGATTGTATTGCACAAAAACATTTTAAGTGCAAGAAACACTTACAAGCCCCCAAAATCAAGCATTAAGAAGCAATAATAGAGTACTGGGCAATGCTCCAACTAGCCAAATATTAATAGCAAGCCTCCTCTGTCGTTGAGAAATCGAGCGTCACCCAAAGCAACGGAGAACGAACTTCTATGAGGTGTGATCAAGGCTTATTATACTCCCTAGAAGTCTTCGAGAAGCAGTTTAAGTCATAAATTAAGCATTTGTGTTTGTACAATTTAAGTTAGAACTTGAATTGAGGTAGGATGACAAATACAGAGCGGTTGGTAGAAAAGAGTGGTTTCTAAGAGGGCAAAGGACCATAGAGAAGAAGAATCAAATTATTTCACAATTTCATTAAATGAGTAAGGAATAGCCAAGCATCCCGCCTGAGACCTGTGCAATAAATTCTGCTTGTCACCTGTCCATGAATTGATTGGTTCATTCATCAGCACAGACACCAGGTATGTTCCCATACCAAGTACCCCCAGAGGAGACGATACTTACTTGCAGTTTTTCCCATACTGGCAGGTTCCATTCTGTTCCCATTGCCTGCAGAAGCTCTCGGTCGGCTTCGGCTTCACATTGGGCGAAGGCGAGCACTGGCTAGCATTGCCCGCACCCAGACCCGGATTGGAGGTGATGGCTTTAGTCCCTAACCTCTCGAAGACGCTAGGACGACGATGAGTGTCTTTGGTAGGGTTACTATGCACTTGCTTCAGGGACGAGTCTAACGTAATTTTACGCCTTGTCTGCTGCTTTGACATTGTATCAAAAATTGACTCAAATCCTAAAGGGACCGTCAGACCATCGTAGAGAGCAGTCCCCGGACTCGCAGCACAACAGCGGCCACACGGCTTTCGGGTCTTGAAGCGCACAGGAACGGAGCATACTTCAACGTGCGGTAAACCAAACAATGGCTCAAGATTCTAAAACATCACTCATTATAAGAAAAAAACTTGAAAAGCACTAAAGTTAATGATTAGAAATTAACTTCTCAAGTGTTTGTGGCCATTTTTAAGTTATGTTCTTCTTCATGTTTGTCTTCTTTCTGCGAGTTTCTTGAGTCACGGAAGAGAGAGGTGTGGAAGGTGTCCGTGGCATAACAAATCGATTCCTCCCTCAACCATCCATGGCCGTCTTTTTTTGCCGTTTGGGCGTTTTGCGTCATTTTATTTTGGAATTGAAGGGAACGTCACATTTTGTTTGGCCTGTATTTGAACTTACTCCCCCTCGTTACACTGTGAGCTAAATAACACCGTGGAGCTGAAAGTTGGAAGTGCCTACCCCAAGTGTGTGGAAGTCCAGAAACCACAAACCACGATCTCTGTAGGCTGAGTTGGCTGTTAGGCTTGCCAGCCATACATAAGTTGTTTGTTCGTCTGCAGTACAATTGTGACATGATGCAGCAAGAGTTAACACCAGGCTACTCGAAAGGATGGGAAGGTAAAAATAGCCAGAATCAAACATCTTAATTATTTTTTGATTTCCTGGAGTTTCTGTTTTCATAGCGGGTTTACCTGATGGGTCGCTGTTTCTTCCTTGTTGAAATTTTATTTACTTTCCAGCATATAACAGTAAAGCTTACCACGATACGATTGGCATTTCCTCTAATTCCGAGTGCTTGTTCCTCATGCATTTTTTATCAGCTGTCAATTTATTTTGGGTACTCTGGCCACTGTTGGATTGTGAAAACTCAATCAATCTCATTTCAATTTTGTATACTGTTTCAGATTTACGGAAGCAGGCACGCAAGCTGGAAAATGAAATTGATTTAAAATTGGTCTCATTCAGCAAGCTAGGAACAGGTCACACTGGTATCAAACCTGATAGGTAAGAACCGAGATTCAAAATTCTTGAGTGTAATGTTGGGTTGATTTGTATTACAGTTAAAATATTTGTTGCAGTGATACAGAACCTTTATTGAGTAGTGAGCATGTGTTCGAAACAATGGCTTTGGATGTAGAGCAATTGCTTTCTCAGGTACGTTGTCTTTAGCCTGACATCTTATTATTCTCCCTGTAAGTACATATAGTGTGAAGTTCATGTGCTGTTGCAGTTGACAACTGTTAATGATCGCCTTGGAGAGGTTTCTGCTCCTGATGGTCCTGGTGCTCCTTCGAGTGCTGCTCTTATTCACACACTTCAGCGTCATAAGGAAATTCTCCAAGATTACAAGCAAGAGTTCTCCAAGACAAAGGCAAATTGGCGTGCCAGAAGAGAGCGTGAGGATTTATTGAGGAGTGTGAGAAAAGATATTGAGTGAGTTTCTGCCGGTTGGTTCAAGTATTCTCACTTTCAGACAATTTGAACCTAATTATGTCATTTCTGTTTGAATTCAGTACTTACAAGTCTTCATCAGGGCTGAACAGACGTATGGATCTTTATTTAAAAGAGAATGAGCACATCAGAAGGTAAAATTTCTTAGCAATGACATTTAAAATGAAAAACAGAGTTTATATTTTAACGCAATCATATTATTTCTTTTGCAGTTCAGATCGCCTTGTGGATGAACAGATCAGCATAGCTGTGGACACACGAGAAAATTTGATGTCTCAGCGTTTGAATTTTAAGCGTATTCAGACTAGGATGCATGATCTCTCCTCTCGGTTTCCTGCAGTGAATTCTCTTCTGCAGCGAATTAATCTTCGTAAAAGGAGGGACTCTCTTATCATTGGTGCTATTGTTGGGGTGTGCACCATCCTCATGTTACTATATGCATTCCATTAATAGAATGGACTTTGGCTGTTTTTCTTTTAATCTTTGATTTAGTTGAGTCAAGTCACACCATATCACAATCATTGCAACAACCAAAGATCAAATTTGTGCCTAGCCTAATACTTCAACTGGCAAGAAATATAACTGGAATAAATTCCTGGGGCCCGATAAAACTTTTCTGAAATCCTTTTTTTTCTCATTATTTTGGTTCAATTTCTTGTCAAGTCTTCATTTTGAGTTGGTTCAACTCAAATCATTTTTTGCCCGGGTACTTTCAACTATCAAAGTATTGATTTGTATGCACCCTTTAAATAGCATAACCTACCATTATGCTTATTCTATTCTATGAACCACTGTAACAATAATGTGTGTAACAGAGTACTCCACTGAATAGAAGAAGAGGAGGGAGGCAATTCTAGTGCAGCACAAATGCAACACCTTGATTTACTACTTGGCAGCTGCTGAGAATCGCCCTTGATTTGCTGGTGTTGGGAATCAAATAAAGCTCTGGCATCAATTTTCTCCCAGATGGCCAAGATTGCTCTGAATGGTATGACGCAATCTCAAATCTCTCTAACACAAGTCCTTCAACACTCTGTTAAATGTTGTATATTTGGCATCCTTTTTCTGCCTCTTCTAAACTTGTGATATTTCTAATTGCTCGTAACTTAGTGAATATTTTCTGTAAAGAAACTTATAGAACTTAGTTTGTTATGAAATAGAAATTTATTAAAAACTTCTGCATATTTATTTTTTAAACGTATGAAACCCGTAATTCCCGTCTGCCGAGCTGTTCCCAAGAGCCGGCTCGTCGCTCTGTCTCCCTCGCACACGCCCCCTGAGTGCGACGCGACAGTGACGAAACGACCCTGCGGAATCAGTCCACTGGGTTGACTGACTGAGGCCCCCCCCCCCCCCTCCTTTTCTGTTATCTTTGGCATCGCGAGGACCAGCCGCGGTGATAGTGCGCCGGCACGGCTGGCACGGCCGGCACCAGGACCGCGGCGGGGAAGGAAGGGCGTCGCTTTGGCTTCGGGGCCACAAGCTCCAAGCGACGAGTGGCGGAGGGTGGAGACGGCGATGCAAACTCCCTCCCTTCCTCCGCTGGCCACGCTGGCTGCAATTAAACGCTCCTTATCTCTGGGCGTAACAAGCAACAAGCAGTGCGGCGATGGTCTTGAACTTTATCACGTTTAATCCGGCGCATCTCTCGGCCGCGCTGTTTAACCAGCCACAAAGTAAACGCAAAACACGCGACGCGACGCGAGCCTCAACAGGCAAGCAGGCATCGGGACTTGGCGGGGAGGGGCGGAACGGCGGCAAAGCAACGCAAAGCGGCGCCGCTCGAGACTTGCTCTTCTTCGTCTTCGGTTTGATGATAAAGTGCTCCGAGGAGCGGAGCGACTAGCGACCCGGTCTCCGCGCCAGTGCAGTGCGCCACGGGGCGTGTCTGGCTGCTGAGCTGCGCCGCGGTCCTCGGACTGGACGACGACGTCGCCACAACAACGCTGACCGTCATCTAGGCCGCGCGCGCGGGCCGTCGAACCGCGCACGGGGAGACGCTGCCCTGCACGGCGCACCGCCACGCACCGGACTTCCCCCTGCCGTGCCCCGTGCGGCAGACCGCGGCGGCGCGTTGCCGGCGGGCCGTGTCGTGTGTCCGTGTCGTCGGCGGCCTCGATGGGGGCGTGGAGGGCGTGGGCCGTGCGGCGGTCACCTCGCTGATCCCGCCACTTGAAAACCGCCCCTCGAAATCCCGGCCCCGGGCCGGGACTCGGGGCACGCCGCCCGATAGCCGCTGACGCGGTGCTGCGCTGTGCACCATTCAAGAGTGCACGCCGAGATACCGTGTGCATGTCGCATATCGCGCACGTTCATCTTACTAAAGTTTTGTTTTATCTTCTGACACGGAAATGGCTATCAACGCGGAGATTGATAGTGACAATTTGCTGGTCAACAGTCACGTGGCCTACTACCATTCGTACATGTACAAGTCCATGCTCAACGTCGCGGGTGAGTTAGCTTGGGCGGCAGGCTGATTCCGAGAAGTTGTTTTCGTTGCTGTCTCTCTCTCTCTCTCTCTCTCTCGAACCTGTTCGGGACGCCCTATGATTGTGAGAGAGACAGAGCGACGAAAACGACTCTTGGAATCAGTCTGCGAATGGCTCGGCCTGCCAGCACGAGGCTGTTTTGCGATGTTTAGAGATCAGAGCAGCGGCTTCAGCAATTTCCAGCATATCCATTTTTAGGGCCCTACAATGTTCGTAACTCCACTAAAAAATGATGAAACTGTTCAAACGAGTGCAATGCCGGACTTCGGAATGCACGTTCGAGTTTGTAAACGAGGAAGTTGGCGCGCTGCCAAGCGGCTGAAAACAAAAGAGCGACGCTTCCTGCGCTTTCTGCTTCTCGCGAATGTTTACATACAAACAAACTTCGCTGTCTGCCCGTCCAGTTTTGCCCGATCTCACGAACTGTCACAACTTTTAGTGTATGCTTCGCCATTCGGCGCGCTGTTGCAATGGAAGCTTAGGAACTGGCGAATCCTATGAGACATGGCTGATGCAGCCTTCAATCATTTTGTTGTTTTCGAAAAATCACCATTCATAAAGGTTATTTTTCTAGCCTTACTTTTTTGAAGTGTCAGCTAGGTGTCAATAGAAGTACCCTCGTGATTACGCAGCGCAAACTCTTCCAATTGGTTTCCAACAATTACCTGTGTAATATTGTAACGCTTGTCCCGCGAGCAGAGGTCTTTGACACTTTGTTTTACTTCTTGTTGACATGTCAATTAATTGCCTTGTATTCCCTCTCGTGAAAAATTGTGTGTTTAAAAAAACAGATTGAATCAAACCTATTCTTTCTCTAATTCTCAGGTCCTGGCAGGATGCATGGTGCTAAAAGAGTCATTGCCTTTTGCCTCCTTATTGGAGTTCTGCCAGCAGTGCTTCTGATTATTCCACTCTACTTGAGGCACAGTGTGTACGCAGATGTATCAGTGGCTGTGGCTGAATCTGATGTGCTGCGAATGGTTGACGGAATATCGACTGTTTTTTGTCAGGTAGTATTCACTGTAGTGTATTATTTACATTTTCCCTATTTTCTCTGTAAGCCTCATTCCCTCTTTTTCTTTTATATAGGAACAAAGGTTAAAAATGAATTCATCATTTAATGCCTTTCAAATGACAGGCACTCCAGAAATCAGTAATAGTCGGAAGCACATAAGATTAAAGAAAAGCATGTCCCTGCCAGATGACACATTGGAATACTGGGGCTTTTATCTTCCTAAAGGATCTTCTGTTGTTCTATCAGTTTGTTCTAGGTAAGTTCATTTAATATTATGCTGATAGAATTCCTGGCTACACAAGTGTCACTGATTTTTCCCTTTTTGTTTTACAAGATTTGATGGATCAAGAATCCTTGTCGTAAAAGGGGAGAAAAATCTCCAAACTTGTGGTTTATTGGAGCATACCTCAAGGAAAGCTGGAGTCCATATGGCTAAAGGAGAAGGCCAAGTTCGTGTCAGATTTGAGACTTATGCGCAAGAAGTGTTTTCTGACTCCACAGCCCACCTCCGTGAAGCTGCTGAGATGAATAGAAAGAGGGTAGATGATGAAAATGTTGGACAGGAAGTAACTGACAAAGAGGAAACTACAACAAACAAGTCTCTTAGTGCTGGGAATGACACTCTAACAAACATACCTACAGTCTCTCCAACTATAGAAAACGGTACAACACATCCATCTTTGGTAAGGAGATCACGCCATGCAAAAAAGCGCCTGAAGGAACTTAAACAACACCATTCTCCAAAAAATAAAGCTTTACAGGAGAAGAAAAAATTATTGCTGGAAGAAACTCTACAGTCCAGAGATTTGGAAGAGGCAGATGATGTAGTGGTAAGAGAAAAAAGATTCTTAAATCTTGATCCAAAGAATGCGCTAGATGGTGGTATTGCTCATGGGGGAAATGCAAACAATTACTCTATTAAAAGCAGTGAATCATCTGTCTCCAGCTTTGAAAATGGTCTTCTTACCTGTTATGATGGACAAATATTATTGGCAAGAAGTTTTCCCCCATCCCATTTATGTACAGATGTTCATTTTCTTGAAAAGGGAGGTCATATGCAGACCACACATGAAGTTGTTTCTGATGGATACTATTACTACATTTTTTACAGTGACAATGACTATGTTATGAATGATATTCACACAGTTTTTAATATATATAAGCCCACTTACCAGTATGCAAACTACTCCAAGGGGTGTATTAACAAAACAGAGTGCAATTTTCCTTTGAGTTTTCTTTCTGCTGAAACCGTCATTGTGGAAGTTCCTACCAGGGACGGAATTGAACACGAACAAGATGATATTACTCTATTGGTGTCCAGTTGTCATCCTCGTATGAGTGTTTACATAATATTCCCTGTGGCAGTTCTATTTCTTATCTTAGGTTGTGCATTTCTGTAAGTTCTTAATATCTTCAAATTTTAAAAACTTTTCACTTGAAGTTTTTTTTTTTAAGTTGGAAAAGAGCAGGTAGTAGGTGGCTAATAAAGGCATGTGTTGACTTCAAAATTAAGTCAACTTGAAATTTTGTAAAACTAGTTTTGACGTGCATCTTACTTTGCTACTGACAAACTCACATATCCTTGTAAGACTATATATTGTGATTTTTATGGTGCACTTATTGACATGTATTTCCAAGATTTAAATTGAGGAATCTGCATAATATAGTTGTCCTATTCTCTACATAGGAATGTATTTTTTATGCTTTTGAAAATTGTACCTTCTATGAGCTGGATTTTGTTTTAAAAGACTGAAAGCTATGATTTTTGGCACCTCAGAGTTTTTTTTTAATGTGCCTACTGCATATGTTTCAGTAATTGACAAGCTAAATGTGATACTCTTTGATTAATTAAAAATATCAAGCTCACATTAATGTAAAAGTAGGCTTTTATGGACCAGTTTTGTAATTTAGAACTAAGCTAGCTTTATTTTTTATCTTAACAATCTACCAATCACATCATCACACATTAATCTTTTTAGTGCTCTAGGTATACTGGTCAATTTTTCAATAAAATTGTACAAATTTCTGTACATTTACACATGATGTAGATAGATGATTTTTATCCCTCCGTGTGTTGATGCTGATTTCATTGTAACATGTTAATGATCTTAATCCCTTTTCTTTTGTCAATGAAAACTTCATTGAACACTGATATTATATGTGATAAGGAAAGATGCAGGTGTCCAAATGTGAATAATGTTGAGGTTGCTTTAAATAGTTCCAAGAATTGTTTGTCCTTTGATAACATTTTACAATTTTCTATGTTAAAAGAGAGTCTGTAGACCACTTAGGATTTCATCCAGTCAGGGAAACCTGTCTGAACTGTTAAATTTTTAAAAGTCCCATGCTTTCCAGTTCCCTCTTTGAACCGTTTGCAGTGGGACTGCAGTTCTTTTTGAGCTTCTTGAAGGGCGGATATTCTTTCTGAATTTACTGCTTGTTGTATATCTTCTGATAGTGAAAGGGAGTGATAAAGAGCAGCCCTGTCAGCCCGCAATGCTTCCTGAGGAAACTTTGTTAATGATTGAGCGTATGTTAAGGCATTTCCTTTACCTAGAAAAGAAAAGCAACCATAAGGATTTAAAGCCTGTCCCTCTGCTGAACTATATATATTTCTGTATATTGTGAATATCTCTTACTTGAGCCGCAGGCTACTAATTGATGTACTAAATTCTTTTGAAGAGCTTCTTCTGCTTTTATTGGTCTTCCACTCAAGATCAACTCAAGAGCTAATGAAAATCCAACACTGGCAGCTAAACGACGTATTGCAGGGATGGACATAGGCACCCCTGATTGATCAGATTAATATATCATCCTTTTCCACTACCCGCAGTAGCTTTTGTACTACAGTTGATATTGTCTTCAACAGCAAGCCATTTATTTGTTAAGGTGTGCAAAGTATCCCTAAGACTACTTACCAAAGCGACGATTAAAAGATCCCAAAATAGAATGGTCATCCATGATTCTTACATCACATGCCATTGCAAGGTCAAAACCTTCACCCACTGCATATCCGTTGAGGGAGGCTACCACAGGCTTGGTGCAGAATTCATCTACTAGTGGGATGCTCTGAAATCCATTTCACAAAGGCAAGATTAACATAAGAGGGAGGCATGAGATTTGGTGACCTTGCGAGGAAAAGGAACAAAGTTTTAAAAGATTGCGAACCTGTCAACAAGACTGATATGTAAATGCCATTAAAAGAACTTACCAGTTGGTTTGATGACACGGTCTCTAAATCAAGACCGGCACAAAAGTTTCCTCCAGTACCATACAGCACAGCAACAGTACTAGACTGATTGGACTCAAAAACTTTTAATTCCTTTCTGAGCGCGTCAATCAACTCGGCATTTAACGCATTTCTTTTGGATGGTCTATTTAAACCAATAAGAGTGACTGCATTATAGTGTTCCACAAGTATGAGCTGCTCATCCAAACTTGAGGAATTTTCTAAAATTAAGAGAAAAAAATTTTGCTTTGTAACATACAAAGTTTATGAATTACCACACAAAAAGAGTCATCTGTTCTCTGCAATTACCTTCTCTCTGAACCAGACTCGTATGAAATGGAGCTTTGAACATACGAGTGAGCCTAGGCCCAGTTAACTTAGAAACAATCATATGAAATTTCATTTTCAGCAACAAGTATGGTTTATTTACATTTAATGTCGTGATCAACTAAACTGTAAACATAACCTTAAATAGAAGACATGTCCTTTCAAAGCATGGATCAAACCATTGACATTGCTCAGCTACAGTTGGAAATAGTAGGGTCAAAACTAGAGTAATAGAATAACGTGATCTTTTTCGAAAAACTAGCAGCTGAGATAAAAATACCTAGAGAAGTGTTGGAGTTTGTTGATCAAGATTTTAAAGATGTTATAGCTGCTCTGCAAATTTCTCATACTAGCAGACGAATCATGCAGGGAGTGCAACAGCCTAATTCCTTAAAATTGCTATCTAGTGCTTGGTGCAGGTCTTCATAAAATGATTTGGATGGCAAGGATAAATATAACTAAGAAAATTATGAAAACGACTTGAAATAGTACACTTTGTTTCTCAAAGTATCAAGCCTACTTTAATTTGTGTGATAAAAGTTTTGTCGCAGTTATGTTGTTGTTGTAGGTTGTTGTGCTACAGTGCTGCTCTCTGACGGTTCAGGTGTGACAGGTGAAGGCAGATTTGACACGACAGAAATGAACTGAAACCTGTAGAGGCGCATGTTAAGCTGAACAGATCGTTGGATTTAGTAAACCGCAGACCACGTCTTGACTCGCCGAACTGGCGCCTGCAAGAGACTCACAAGTATGCGTAGTGCAATCGTCTCAGCCCTCACAGTATGTTGCCTGATGTTCGTCGCCCGGGCCCTGCCGGCCCCCGAAGCAGCGGCAGACGAATCCTTCTTGAATGGCCATAAGTACATGTCACACGATGAGCTGTCGGAGTTCCTGCTCAAACTGGAGCAGGAACACCCACACCTCGCGGCGCGCAAGTCCATCGGCAAGTCCGTGGAGGGACGCGACCTGTGGGCCCTGGAGCTGAGGCGCAATGTGGCCGAGGAGCGGCCCCTGGGCATGCCCATGGTGAAGATGGTCGCCAACATGCACGGCGACGAGACGGTGGGGCGGGAGCTCTTGATCTTCATGGCCCAGTACCTGCTCGGCAACTACGGCAAGGTGGATCGTGTGACGCGCCTGCTCAACAGGACTGACATCTTCCTGATGCCCTCCATGAACCCCGATGGCTACACGAGATCCCAGGTAAGATTGCTACGAAATCAAGCACGTAACATAATCCCATCGAGGACGATTTGTCGTCAAAGAAATGACTCTTCTACGGAAGAGACAGCTGATGTGGCCAGCATCAGGAGTTCCTCCTGGGGTGTTTAGTATAGGATGCTCATTTCTTTTGCAAATGACTATACTTTTATCTGACCCATTTCAATTTTATTCTAATTTTCAGGAAGGTCTGTGTGGATCTCTAAAAGATTATATTGGCAGAGAAAATGCTAATGCAGTTGACTTAAATAGGGACTTCCCTGACCAATACGGATCCCCAAACAAAACACTTGAAGAGTGCCAACCAGAAACACAAGCAATGATGAACTGGATTGTATCAGAGCCATTTGTATTATCTTCAAACTTGCATGGAGGGGCTGTTGTCGCTAGCTATCCATTTGATGACAACCAACGGTAAGCTTTATGCTTTGTTCTATCAGATTGTCAACCAGGTTTTCGATAACTAGTAAAGAATCAACTTTGTCAGCTGAAATTTTCAAAGCAAATTGCTCTTCTTTTATGAATATTGAGTTGCCTTCTGTAGATAATATTTTGAGGATTATTTTCAAAGATGTATTAGTGCCAGAATTTAGTCTCTTGCTCACCTACCTAGGTTTGCCTTCCTATGGAAACCTTTCAGTTGTTTTCATTTAATAGTTTCTCTTAAATGCTTTTAAATTTGGGAACAGCTGGCTTGCAGGATGACAATTTAGAGGTAAGCTGTGTGATATTTCCTCAGCACTCATGCGCTTTGACTGCTTTTATTCCACTGGTTTTAGTTGACAACTGAAATAATTTAACTAGTTTTTGTCTAAACTTTTTAAAACCTTATTTTTTATTTTTACGTTTGCATAATCTGTAATACTGGAGCACACGTTTCACAGTTTTTTTGTTTTTCCCCTCTCTCCTATAGTCATGACGAAACTTCAAAAGTTGAAAGCAAATCACCTGATGATGCGGTTTTTAAATTCTTGTCTTTGGAATATGCCAAGAACAATCCAAAAATGGCTGCCGGGAATGCTTGTCAGTCCATGTATCCTGATGAATATTTCCCCCAAGGTATTACTAACGGGGCATTCTGGTATAATGTTGATGGTAAGTTCTCAGATTTTTTATTAAATTTAACTTGAACTAATGGGCTTCATTTTTTATATCCTGAATTTCTTTTGCAGGTGGCATGCAAGATTTTAATTATTTGCACTCAAATTGCTTTGAAATAACATTTGAGTTGTCATGCTGCAAGTTTCCCAATGTGACTGAACTGCCATCATACTGGAGAGACAATCGTGAATCTCTCTTAAAATACTTGGAGTTAACAAACATGGGCCTTCATGGTAAGTCAAATAAACAACATGTTCTTCCTGTTTCGTATATGCCACATGCATTTTCTCATATTATTCTCTTTCCTCCCCTCCAAACATTTACATAGGATTTGTAATGGATGAGAATAATAACGCAATCCAAAATGCTGACATTGTAGTGCAAAATATTGAAAAGAACATTACCTCAACCTCTCGTGGAGAGTATTGGCGCCTTCTTTCTCCTGGCAACTATGTAGTGCATGCAAGTGCATATGGGTAAGATTTTTCTTGATTTTCTGACCTGTCTTTTTCTCTTCTTCTAGAATAATGAAATGAATGATTTGGTTTTAATTTTAGCTACCAGTCAACATCTCCTATACCTATCGCCATATCCAGTGTTGATGAGCCTAAAATCCTCAATTTTACTCTCCATCGTCTTCAAAGTCAAGGTATTATCTTCTGATTATTTTTAGACCTTGTGTAAATTATAACATTTGAAGTGCTTTTTGGTATGTGTATGGGTGATCTCATGTGTGCTAATTTCTTTTATTTTTTTTGTGATCTTGTAATCTGTGTCATCCCCTAGCTTAGAAAAATTTCCATTGGCTTTTTGTTTGTGTGTGTGTTACTTATTTGCCTGGTTTATGGTCTTTTAAACTACATTTTCCATGTTGTTTTTTTTTCCTTTTTTTTTAGAACATTACTTTCTATCAAAGAAGTCTTACTTCATATACATCCAATCCATATGAGTGTGCGCTTAATTCCATTTCAATTTAAAGATGTTATTTGTGAGGTCGGGGCATGTGGCTCTAATTTATTGTTGCTTGGTTTTTGTGTCCTTTGCCATTGAATAGCTGGTTATTGTGTGAGTGTAAGTTCAGTTCTTACATTCAGGTGGAGGAGATTTCGTTTGTGCTGGTTAGGGTTTGTCTACCCTAATTTTTAGTTCCCCACCATTTGTCAATTGGTTTGTAGCTTGACTGTTAGTTACATAAATATGGGGGTCTATATTTTGGCCATTGTGGTAAGTTTTAAATTTGAAGTGAAAAGTGCATTTAATGTTTTGTGGAGATAGATCGTGTAGCTGAATGGAGATGATACTAACTCTCTTTCTGGTGTTGGTTGTGTTCAAAGGAAATGCAGGAGTTCCATCTGAGGGTGTGGAGAAGAGCAGCAGTGGCCATCCAAAAGACATTTCTCTGTCTTGGCTCATTCTGTTACCAATAAGTTTCTGGTTTTGCAGCCAAAGCAGTTATGGTGTTCTCTGATCACATTGGTAATTGTATCTTGCTTTAGCACGGTGCTGGTCTCTGTTATCAATTTATAAATTCTAGATCTGTGGAGCTAGTGTTAAGGTGTTGTCAAGTTTGCTCAATGTATTGATGGCAGAAACTCCTCTTATAGTTCTTTTTGTTAGCATTTGGGACAAGTTGGTTTTACACATTAAGGTCTTTCTCTACACCTTTAAATTTTCCCCCCTATCCTTCAGATTGGATAATGTGATAAACTATCTTTTTTTTTTAAGATTTAAGACTATTTCATTTGTATGAATGATTGACTGGCTAAAACTATTTGCCTTGTAAGATCTGAACGTTTTGTGTTTTTTTAAAAAAAATTTTTACTAATCTTAAAGTGTGGAAAAATATATGTATGCAATGAATAAATGACCTATTTCAGTAAGTTGATGTAATGTTTTATGTAACCTTTCATCTAGTCACACTATGTTTGTCATATATTTTTGTCACTTTTGGAGGACTCTCCTCACATTTTACTATAGAGGTGGAAAAATTTATTCTCTTCTTTTGTTTTGTTTGTTATAAGGACCAGGAGTATCTGGAAAGTTGGTGTCAAAGTTGCGCCCAGCCATGGATAGGGACGGATTTATGACTGAAACGGTTTTTACCCACCACAACTATACAGAAATGGTGCATTGGCTCACATTCTTGTCACGCACATATCCTAAAATAACTCGCTTGTATTCTATTGGAAAGAGCGTTCATGGACGTGACTTGCTTGTCCTTGAAATCAGTGACAACCCAGGACATCATGAACCAGGTTTGAGGATAAATCCTTGTGTAGTGTATACAAAAACTTTGCTCAATACATTCTTTACATGTGCCTTTAAACACATTTCAGGAGAACCTGAATTTAAATACGTTGCTAATATGCATGGCAATGAAGTTGTGGGACGAGAAATGCTCCTGCTTCTTGCCAAGTATTTGTGTGAACAGTATCAAACAGACAAACGTTTAACTGATCTGGTTGACAACACGAGAATTCATCTTATGCCATCCATGAACCCTGATGGTTATGAAATTTCAAGGGAAGGTGACAGAATGTCAATTCATGGTCGTGCCAACAGTAATGGGATTGATCTGAATAGAAACTTCCCTGATCAGTATGGAGTTACCGAGGTATGCACATCCTCTGCCCCCTCCCCCTCCCCTCTTCTCTGATTTCTGTGTTAGAAATTTTGTGAAAAAAGGTTTGTTATGTTCTGTTATTAGGACAATAAAGTACAGCAACCTGAGACAAAGGCTGTCATGGAATGGATCACTGGAAACCCATTTGTTTTATCAGCCAACCTGCATAATGGGGCTTTGGTTGCAAACTATCCGTTTGATGACACTGAAGATGGGCACACAGGAGCCAACCGAAGCCCAGATGATGCTGTTTTCAAACGCCTTGCTCATACCTATGCAAATGTGAGTAACTCTTTAAAGTGCATGCCAGCTTTTTGTTTGTTTATTCTGTTTGGATAGTTCAATGTATTGTTTTGTGCAGGCTCACCCAACCATGCCCCTGGGAGAGCCATGTCGCCATAATTCTGGGGTTTTGGAAAAACCGTTTCCCTCTGGAATAACAAATGGAGCTGAGTGGTATGTGGTGTCTGGGGGAATGCAAGACTTCAATTATTTAAACTCAAATTGTTTTGAAATTACAATTGAAATGGGATGTGATAAATTTCCTAATCACACAGAAATACATAAACATTGGCTTGATCATCGGGAGGCACTTCTTTTATACATGGAGCAGGTGAGTAATACTTATCTCATTGTTCAATCTCATTTTTGAGCTGCTTTCACATTCCTTGTTCTGCAGGTCCATTCTGGTGTAGCTGGTTTTGTGAGGTCAACAAGTGGGAATGGTTTGAAAGACGCAACAATAAGCGTTAGAGGCATTAATCACTCTGTGAAAACGGCTGCAGATGGTGATTACTGGAGGCTTCTTGTACCAGGAACATACACTATCACAGCATCAGCACCAGGGTAACAAGATTGTTAAAGATGACTCTAGCAAAACGAATTTTGATTGATTTCAAATGTATAAGAATAATGAGCAACTTTTCCTCAGGTATGAAAGTCAAACACTTAAAATTGAAGTGCCTGAAACTGGTGCACCAACATACAAGGCAACAAGAGCAGCTTCTCTCAATTTCACTCTTCTCAGAGAAGATGTCTTGGAGTGGTCTTATGTTCATGATTATAATATAACAGAAAATGTAGTCACCATGTATGAATTGCATCAACCAGAAGCTTTCAAGAATATCATTGGGACCCTAGAAACTAAGAATTCCGAAATCATTGAAATTATACCCAGTAGTAGTAATGAAGTTATGCACTACAAAATAAGTGATCAGGTTGGTGGCAAAACTGCATTTATTTTAAGGGGTTAAAAAAATCTCGCTAAAGCAAACTTAACTTTTTTAAAAAAATCATGTCTTTCTAACTCTGAAACATTCTTTCAGATTGGATCTCCAGAAGAAAACAAATTTCACATCTTGTTGATTGGAGGCCTGTGGGGTCCAGAATCAGTGGGCCCAGAACTTCTTCTTCGCTTCACACGCCACCTTGTTGCTGCCTTTAATGAAAAGGAATCTAATGTTACTCATGTCCTAAAGAACTGTGTTGTTCACATGTTGCTCATATTTGACCAATCTACTGATAAAGGTTTGGAATGTGACCTATCAAACAAGCCTGGAGGTGGTTTAGGCCAACTAATTGCAAGTCCTGGTGTCACAAGTCCTGATGTGAATGCTGAGAGCAAATTATTGGTAATGGTGTTGGATACTATCCGGTCTCAGCCTCTAGATCTTGTTGTCAGTCTTGAGGGTGGTGGTCTGAAACTCAGGTAAGTCTTCTAATTGTGCTTTTATTTTCAGCTTCCACCAAAGTGAGAAACAAGCTAAACCTTTTTTTTTTTCTTCTTTCAAATCTTCCACAGGCATAGCACACAAACTGATGACATACTGAGAGACGCTTTGATCATGTTAGAAGAGCAATTTGAAAAGCCTTCTAATGGAGTTTATCATCCCAGGGAGTGTGAATCTGTAACAAGTATCCCTTCAGATAATATGGAGAAGCTGCGACAGAGAATGGTTGATAATATGTATGCAAGGACAGGGAAACCAATGGTTAGCCTAATTTTTTTTACTGTGGTTTCAATAACTAGTTCAAGATACAGCTGCAGCCTGTATTTCATAAAAACGAATTTTTAACATAAAAAAAATAACATTTACATCTAGGTCTCAATACAAGCAAGTTGTTGTCGCCATGCTCCCCCAGCGTCTATCCCAAAACTCTGGAAAAATAACATGGCAGGCCTTTTGAGGCTCTTGAGTGCGAGTGTGCAGGGTGTCAGAGGTCAAGTACTGTATTCGAATGGTGATCCAATGCGTGGTAGACTTGTAAACTTCAAAGATTCCACTCGCAAGATTGAAGTATCTCCAAATATGGCATATTTTAAGGCAATTCTTCATTCAGGCTCTTACATTCTTCAGGTATTTATTCTTCTTCTTTATGGTTACTCATCTGCAAGTTAACTTTATAATTGCTAATTTGTTTCTTTTGTCTCCTGTTAAGGTCTTGACTGAGGAACTTACACTAAATGTTTATGATAACCAGACAACAGACTTTACTTTTAAGTTGAGTCAAAATGTCAACTATGGTGAACCATTGCCTGATGCGCAGTCTTCTACGCCCACTGCGTATCACACTCCTCAAGCAATTCGACAGACACTGATTGAACTAAACAACCGTTTCCCCAAAGTAACCCGTCTATACAGGTATTTGTGCAGGCTCCTTCAAGATGCTGAGACGTGAAAGAAAAAACTCTCTAATTCCACATGCCAAAGCAACATGAGATGCTACTCTTATTTGTTTCACGTGCTTGAAGTTTTGGAGTGTAATTTCTTTTGTTATAATATAAAATAAGACTTGAAAAGAGAGGGTATAATAGCTGAAGTAGTATTCTATCTTTGTATTGTGATATAATTTTATATTTCAGTCTTGGACAAAGTCATACTGTGCCTGTGCTGGAACTGGGCAAACAAGATAGAGATCCAGTTATAAGTAGCCCCTCATCTATAGCCTTTATTGGTGGATTTCATCCAGATGAAGGCATAAGCAGTGAAATTCTGATCCAATTCATTCAACATTTACTTCGTGAATATGGCAAAGATGATAAGGTTACTCAATATTTTGAAGTGAGTCACTACTGTCTTTTTTGTTTTATTTTTTGTTTCTTTTCTACCTATTTAGAGGAGGTTTTTTTCCACTTTCTGTCTTTTGGTTGTCTTAATTATTATTATTGTTTTCAGAATCTCAAAATACATGTAATACCTATTCTTAATCCAGATCCTAGTCTTGAGTCTGAAAGGATCAATCTAGATACTGATTTTCCAGTAGGTGAGTCACTTTATAGAGCTGCCAAATTCTATGGTTAAAATATTGTCAAGTTTGTGGAGAGGTATCCTACCTAGTTGTTGAAGACTTAATTGATTCTATCAGAATATAAATGCAAATTTTCTCAACTCATTTCAGAAGATACAAATCAAAAGCCACAACTAACTGTTACCAAGGAACTCATTTCATGGCTTCAAACTGAAAGTCCTGTCTTTGCAACGACAATACGTGCGGGATCAGTTCATGTTTCAATACCTTTTAGCAACTCTTATCGTCGTTTATCCGGTTCTACAACTGCAAATTCATTTGCCTCTGTTGATGACAAGGTTTGTTCCTTGGTGGTTTTAAACCTGCCCAGTTTAGAATTCCTTTTATTCTTTTTTTTCCCCTTTACAGCTGTTTAGACTGATTGGTGAGAGTTACGCTGCACTCCATCCATCAATGTCTCATGGTGTACCTCGCTGCATGAAGTCAAAGTCATCTACGGATATTTTTGAGAAAGGTGTTATCAATGCTGGGCAATGGCGACCTCGTTCTGGAAGCTTCATGGTATAGTATAATCTTCAAGTACCTTTGAGATTCTAAGTGTGTCTGTGCAACTTTGACCCAGGATTCTGAAACAGAGTTTTATTTTGTCCTCTAGGATTTTGCATATCTCAACAGTAGTGTAATGGCCATGGAAGTCTTTGTAGATTGTAATTTATTGCCAGCTCAGGCATCAGTCCTACAAACTTGGTTGGATCATCAAAAAAGTTTACTCTTCTTGTTGGATATTGTTAATGGTTCCGGTGCTCCTGGATTCACTGGTATGGAAGAATAATTTGCATCTGTTTTCTTCTTATTTAAATTTGATTTCACTAAAGCAAAATTTTAAAAAATGTAATTTCAGGGTATGTTACTGATGAAAGTGGTATACCAGTTAGCGATGCTCGAATTATGATTGATGGAGGTATACATGTTGTAAAGACTGGTCATAATGGTGCCTACTGGAGATTGGCAAGCTCTGGTACGCTTATCAAACATAAATTACATCCTTTCTCTTGTTTTGAATCTTTTGCTGACAACCTTGTGATTTTGTGTCCGTAGGTGTGCACACTGTGACAGTAGAAGCTGATGGTTACCTGCCCTTAACAAAATTGGTGACTGTTCCTGCTCCTCAGCTCTTGAAAGTCATGTTCAGACTCACGAAAGATGAGTCTGTGATGGGGTTGCCGCGTTTAGTTTTCATAATGTTTGCAGGTTGGTGTTTTTAATCTCCTAATTTTATTCAAATATTGAGTTATGAGAATGAGGTACTATTTGCCTAGCAATCTTGGGTGGTTTGTAACACTCTACATTTTCTGTTACATACACTCGTTTTCTCATTCCCATTTCTAGCTAGTTTGGTACTTTTCATCTTGTGATACTTATGGGTTTGGTGTGTGTTCTCACAGGATTATTATGTCTACTTTTGGTTGTTTGTGGTGCCTGCTCCTATGCATTGTGTCAGCGCCGCTCTAAACGTCAAAGGGAGGACAATTATTCATTTTCTATTTTGTCTCAAAGAGCAGAAAATTTTGATGAAGTGAAGGACATGTTTTCTACCCCAGTTCTAAATGGTAAACATATGTTCCTTAGTTGTATTCCCAATAGATGCCATATCCACTAGCTTCACTGAATTGTTTGTTACAGAACTTCGCAGTAGACCATATCATGATGAAGATTCAACATCAGAGGAAGATGAGAGCATAGGTGGTGAAGATGATATTGTAGTAGTGCGTACAAGCCCTGACTTTGATAGAAAATTTTAATATTTTAAATGCTAGATAAAAGTAATTTGTGATATTTTGAAAGATATTTCACCATTCTTTCAGTTTTAGGATTATTATATGAGGTATGGCAGGCCAAGCTCATTATTTTGGATACCATGTTTTAGAGTGCGTTAGTACTTAATGGATAATTCCTTGAACTTTTCTGAAGAGTGTATTTTTTTATCATCTTATCTATTTGTTATCCACCATATTGTGATAATTTCAAAGTATTTTTGACTACATGCACCTGAAAATTTCTGTAAATATTTTAGATGATATTTTATAGTTGTTAGAGTATGTTGTTGAAGATGATATAGACTTTTAACGATAGTTTACCATAGATTTAAACATGTTGACAACTCTTTCCTGTTTTGGCACTTTGGGTTCTGCACTTTTTATGTCTTAACTTTGTATTTTATTTTTCTCTTTATTCAATCATCTTATACTTGCTGTTGAATCTCCTTGCTGTGGACTCATTATGACAAATAAGTGAAGCAGTGCAAGAATCTGTTGTTTGGCAAGTTTCGCGTTTAAGTTTTACTCCTCCATTGACCAAAACAGAAATTTTTATAACTTGAAATTTTATCTTTCCTTTATGTTGGCTGTGATTATATTTGAAGTCGTAATTTCACAGACTTAAGAAGTACTTAAATATGGAGTTTGTGATATTTCCATTTAAAAGATAAACAAAAGAAGTAGAAAGTCTGGTTAGTTCTAGTAGGTGCATCCCTGTCAGTTTTACAAAGTAATATATTGTACTGACCATCTGAGTAAAATGGAAATTATTTGCTTTTAAGAAAAAGATTTAACTTCTCAGGATTTTTAAGAGACAATAAATAAATTGACTTCTATACTCGTTGTTTGTTTTTGGCTGAGTGGCTCAAGCGTCTAATGCACACAGATGTCAAATGGGTGGCCTACCCACTCGGCTCTTGAGACACCGACAGTCTTGCGCCCGGGAGCGGCAGATAGGCAACCCGTTAGACACCACACTGCAAGGCGTGCGTCTTCTGCACTGGCTGGCTCGGGCGGAATCGGCTGAGCCACGCAGAACACCTCAGGATGGAACTTTGAAGAACAGTGATGCAAAATTTTCTTTCTTCGCCGGTCAGGAAAGGAGTCAGGGTGACGGTGGAAGGAGCAGAACCCCCCCTCTCTTTTTTCCTGCACAAAGTGTTCGTTGCAGTGGTACTCATGGGGCGTCACGTACGGGTGCGAGGAGAGACAGCGCTGGCACCTCTCGAGGACTCCCGCTCCTTGATGAGCGGAAGGCCCAGTTAGTCGATATGCGATCGGTGCGTTTCAAGAGTCGTGTGATCACCCCTCCCCTAAAAAGACGTGTATCTCACGTGAGCACCGACTCGGCGCCTCTTGTTCAGTTGCGGGGTATTACTTTGATGTCTCCTAAAGTTCGTTGTCTGTTCCCCCTTTTCGCGGCCATCGCGAATGTGTCAGGGCGTGGGTGTTGGTAGCAGCCAGGTGACAATAACTTCGAGTTCCGAACATAACTTTATTCATCGTAGCTTGGAAAATCACACTGCCCGCTGCGTCCCCGGCGATCGGCATTCCCTCGAGAAAGGAGGCAATGCCGTCGCCGGGGAATGCATGAATGCCCTCACGGCATGCCTGCAGGCAGATTCCGCGAGCAGTGCCTCTCCCTCGCATTTCGAATGGGATGACCCATTAATGCGAGAGAGGCGGCCACCGTTCGCACGCAGCCTCGCGGTCCTCGCGACGTCGACCAACCGATCCACAGTGGGCCAGAAGACCGGTGGAGGTGGCGTTGAGCTCCAGAGTCGCTAAATGAGACTCGAACCGAACGTTTGACCCCAATGGACTGTTCTCCGAAAAAGGAAATTCGTTGGTGGGGTCACACGCTCGATGAGTCCTTTTTAGCGACTCTGGAGCTCAAAACGCGTCTAGAGTAAGAGGCCCGAGGTATACGGTGACGTGGTGCGGTTCATTCGATTTGCACCGCACCACCACCTTCTTTGGCGACTTCGACTTCTGCTCGTCAAAGAGATAAGGAAAGGCGGGGCGCTGGGCTTGGCTGGGCTCGACATCGATTCGGCCGCTTCGGCCGCTTCAGCCCCGCCAATCGCCTTTCTGGCGCTGCCTTGCTTGGCTGCTTCGACTCCGCTGCTCCGCCCCTCGGCGGACATCGCTCTTGGCTGCAGGTCCCTCGGCTTCAAGGCGGTCCTCGCCCCTCCGAGCTCAGGGCGGCTGCCGGACTCCTACACCGAGTGCATCGTGGTCATGGCCGTCATGGCGGCAGCGCTGGCAGAAGTGGCGCGCGTCCCCGCGTAAAGCCCTTGCCAGGGCTGCTACACCTGGGCGTGTTGGACGCAGCATCTGTAACGGACAAAGAGGGGCATTGAGAGAGGGGCGCCGGCGCCGATAAGTTGGAGGATTCGAACCGAGCGCCACCGTGGGGCCGCGACAGGTGGGGTTGGCGGAAGGGGGAAGCGTGCCACGCGCCGTCCCGTGACACCCCTCCCCCCCTCTCACACATACAGGGGAAGCGCCCCCTCCGCACCCACCCGCCGTCCGTCTGGGCCGGCCAGCCGAGCGATGCCGAAGAGCGGCTTGGCGCTCCGTCTCCCTCGCACCCTTACGGAGAGCCCCATGAGTGCGACAGAGACAGCGACGAAATGACTCTTCGCCCGGCAGTCCGCGACGTGACGCGGCACGCCGCCCACGGGAAGGGTGGCGAGTCAGGGGCCGTGGGGGATGGGGAGCTAGACATCGAAGGTCAATACTCCAACAAGCAACTCCATCTCGCGAGAGCGACACGGACCTCGGTGGCCGTGGGGGCGGAGACGCGGCGGAGACGACCTAGACTCGGCCAACATGATTGATTAGTCCTGAATCTCTCGGAGGGCTGGAGCGGGGGCGAGGCGGCGGGAGGGGAGCTCTGGTTCGAGGTACAGTCGAGGTGGGGGCCGCGGTCAGTTCGGCCGAGGCACTAGGCTGGCATTTCCATCGGTACCGCCTAAAAGGTAGGCAAAAAGAGGCACTTTCCCACGCACAGCCATGCTTAGTTTACACAACTCCCCCTCCTCTGGTTTCCGGGCTGCCGGGCACTTGCCACCTCCTATAAACGCATGACATATTCATGCGCAACTCATCGATTTCGGTTCTGCCCGAGTGGACTTGGACAGAGGGGGAGGGGGAGGGCAGAGACTGTGTAGAAGGCGAAGGCAGGGGTTCTCGCGGCTTCGCGGCTCTGCGAGGTGGCTCGCGCCGTGCGACATGGTAGACATGGAGTACCCCTTCCCCCCCGCCTCGCCGATAATCTGGGCCACTGCGCCAACGTCGCGGCGACCGACGAGTCGGCGACTCCCAGCCCAAGGCGGCCGTCGGTAATTCTGGGCCAGCCAAATGCAAGCCGCGTAGCCATGGCGTAGCCGCGTGCCGTAGTGGGAGGCGAGCCGAGCCATTCCATTCCGAGGGCAGGCGAAGCAGGCGAGGCACAGAGCCGCGGCTGGCGTCCGTCGCGTCCGCACGAGTCCGTCCGTCCGTCCGTCCGGTCGGCCCCTCGCACGATGGGAGGGCCCCACAGGCCACAGCCAGGCCCCACCCACGGACCCAGCGGCCCAGCAAGCAGTCCCCGCCCCGGGATGCAGCGCATGCAGCGCACGCCAGCAGCAACACGAGACGCATCGGCCTGCACGCCTGCACCGGACACTCCGCGACGCCACGCGACGCCACGCCGCGAGGCCAGTGGGCGGCAGGCAGCGCAGCTCGGCGCAGGGCAGCTCGCTGTCGCCTTGTCATGACATGGGGCCTAAGCTCTAGGCGCGCCCCGGGCTTTGGACGCTGCTGCGCACTGCTACGCTGCTCCCTCAACCCGCCGTCGCCGCGTCGCCGCCGCCACCACACCGCCGCGGCCCGCACGACCCCCCGCAGTGCCTCGCGACCCGATGCCCGAGCATTGCCCGAGGCATTCGTGGAGTCGACCGGAGCGCGAGCAGCGCGAGGTGGTGCGGCATGCGGTGCGTGGCCTGGCGAGGCGGCCCGGCCTAGAGGCCACAGTCCCGGGCCATCGGCTAGCCGTCGGCGCCGTCGGCCATCGCCTAGCTTCTAGGTCCCAACTTCCGCGCCGTGCAGCGCTACGCAGCGCCAGCCCCGGCCGCAGGCTGCAATAGGCTGCCATAGGCACAGGGGTAGCGCTCGCGTCGCAAGTTCTGCGGGGAGAGGACGCCCCGCCTAGAACTGCCAGACGGCGGCAGGCCTACAAGCACTCGCCGCTAACCGGGCAGGGCACTTCGGGACAGCTCAGCACTCACCGCACGCCAGCGTCAGCGGTAGGTCCGGCCGAAAAGGCAGCTCGGCCAGTCAGCGCAAGCTGCGCAAGTGACGTGGCGGTGGCCTATGCACACCGATGCACATGCACACACAGCCCAAATGTCATGGCGTCGACTGGCACGGAAGTACAGAGGATAGCGACGGCGAAAGGGGGCCAAGAGTTCTTTCGACAGACTCGAGGAGAAACTTTGGCTGGGTACCTTCAAAGAAAATAGCCAACTGAAGGTTATGACGTTGATTTCCGAGAGTTCAGTCTGGGGTTTCAAATGCTGAAGAATGAATAGCGAAGCCCTCGCCTCCCCAAATAAACTTTGGATTGCAAGGGCGTTTAACGATTTAAAAGACTGACAGTGGAAAAAGGGGGAACCCTTTACGCCGATTGGAGGTTAAACAAGGAAGTTTACTTAGCACGACTTTGCGGCTGATTACGACAAATTCCTGAAAAGATAATCAACGTAGAGGGGTCCTTACGTGGTTCCGTACATACCTGGCCCTTGGAATGCAGCTCAATCGCTTTCTAGCTCGCAGCTTGAAGCCTACACCGATGACACTTCAACACAACGCAACGGGCGAACCCCAGTTCCATGGTCCCTGTTCCCTGCCACATTCCCGTCCCGGTCTCCACCACCAACACCCCGCACCACACCAGCGCTCTCTGTGTCGTCGTTCAGGAAGCCGAAGCCCCAGTTTTCCGGTGCAGTAGCGATAAGTCGAGACAGGCGCCGATGTTGTGAGACAAGAGATACCAGTTTGAGTTGTTCCGAGGGCAGGTCCTTATCAAATAGATGTTGCAGTTAACGTTGGAAATGAATAATGATAAAAGCAGACCTGATCTGTGCCGATAGCGAGCCGACGGGAAGTTGATGGTGAGTTGACGGGGGTGAACCATAACCTAATTTTGAGCAGCCTAAGCCGGAAAACGCGCCATGGCAAGCCATCCTGCGAAAAGAGTGACAAACAAAGGAAACCAGCCAGCAACTTAGAGGGAGCAGAAACGTTTTGTCGCGTAGTTTTAGGCATATTTTCCCATCACAGATAGGCCGAGAGAGTGTTGTCATCACTTGAATGGTACTTTTCGTCTGATTTCTTTGAAGCGCTAATATGAACCCTTACCGCTGTGGGGGATGATTGCGGGTCTTTGTGTTGTTTAGCAGGTTGATTCGATTTTCAACACGGGTGGCCTAAATTAACAGAAGGCTCGCTTTTCGAAAATTTCAGTCGAAGAATTGTAATTCCTTTTGAGAAACTGCAGAGCGGCTCCGATAGCCTCAGTCAAAACAGTCATCCTGTCCTTTGTTCTGGAAATTTCGAGTTTGTTGTGATAGCTATAACCTCGTCGCCCCTTGAGTTTAGAGTGATTTAGAGTGACCCGTGTTCAGCTTCGAGGGAGAGAGATGTTCTTCTCGGAATCTCGAATTGCTCAGGCGGGGCACGGCTTGTATCGACCAGGGCTTTGCTGTTCAGCTCATCGCGTAGGCGGGTAGCTAGTAGCTGGATCCGTGAGAGGAGGATGGGGTAGGGAGAAGGAGCTTGTGGCTTGTTTTGAAACATGCCATGTCTATCCCGAGAGCTATAGCTAGACTCCTGGGTCCTAGCGTCTTCACTGTGCATCCCTGTTCGATATCAGCACAACCAAGGATATTCCAATCAGAGGTGGTCGGGCAACTCTTTCGTTCTTTCTTGGAACCATGCGATGGATGGTTGTTTCCGGTTTGGGGTTTATTTTCCACTTTGACCAAAGACCACGAACTTCGGCCACGATTGAGTGACTTTGCTGGTGTCTCGCGATGCGGCGATGCCTTCTAGGAGACGACACTGCTGAGCAAGCCGATCGTTAGTTCATTGTCGCCGTGCCACCGAGTTTAATGTAGCCGTGCTGCCGCAAGGCACACCATCAAGGCATCGTTCGGTAGTCCCGAACCATAGATCCATACTCTCTTCTTTGTTGTCGCCTTCATAGTGTAGTGCTATGTAGTGGATGTAGTGCTTTCAACGCTTAGCGGAGAGGACGAGAGGAGTTTGACTCCGGAAGCACGCTGATAATCAATGGTTCTGATTCCAGGCTCTCCTCGGAAGTTCCTCCTTTTGACGTGGTATTCCTGCTCTTGTGATCGTCGCACCCTCTCATCGTCATGGAGTCATCAAGCAACGCCCAGAGGAGATCTGGGGACGAACCAAAGACCTCTCTGAGTGATGAACCTCGAGGTCTGTGGAACCACCGTGCACCCTGTAACGCTACGTATTACCTCGCGGAACCGCCCGACTTATGCCCACTTTCTATCTGTTCCCAGGGAAAGACTTTGAAGAGAAATTAGCAAGACTTCAAAGAAAATATTCACCGTTCTTAAATACAACTATAGCTAAGCTAGAATCAAGCAAGGATAAAGTAAGAGCCTCTCAGCTACATAAAATGAAGAATCTCCAGCAAATTTTGACATCCAATACACAAAAGTAAGGTGTTCATCTTCTGTCTGTTGAAGTTATCTTTGTCATCCACCTTCTAATGTTAAGTTCTTTTCCAGGTTAAAAGTTGATATGTTGGATAGATGTGAAGAAGTATTAAAGAAATTGGTGGAAAAATTAAAGGTATGTCAGGCTTTTAACTTTCCTGTGGATTCGCTGCCCGTCTCGGCTCGTCTCTTCAGCTACCCCCTCCTCCCCTTCTCCCGGTTCCCCCTCTACTCCCTCGTCCTCGGCTCGGAGGCGGCTACTCTTCCCCCACTCTCCTCACGTTTCCCCTCCTCTCTTTGCCTACCCTGCCATTTTATCCTCCCCCTTTCTCCTCCCTTCCCTTATTTAATTCTTGATTTTTATTTTTTTGTCCGTTAAGTTTCATTAATATTCCATTTCATTTTGTTTCAGTACCCCATAGGTACAGATAATTCAGCACCCACAGCAAAGTAAACACCATTTAATATGAATTTTATTGTTTGTTTTTTTTTTCCCTTGTAGTATAGTTCTAATATTGCTCTCTCTTCATAGGCTCAAGACTGAAGTCATGGAATCTCCTGCTAGCCCCCCTCAACACGATTTCATTCCTTCAAAATCTGCTCCGAAGATCATCCCTGTAGAGAGATGTGCCACTGTGGAGAGGGACTTCTCCAAGGCTGATGAAGGAACGTCTTTAGAGACAAGTCGTAGTCGTCTGAAAGATCTCATGCAGAAAAATGATCCAAAGCCACTGAACTCGATGCCTTCAGCTCCGCATATCCCAGGGCTTGACATGCTTTTTCCCAACAGTGAGGCATTCAATCGTACTTCTCAAGATGCGAATGTGAAAGGTTTTCTTGAAGCTGATATGAGGAATCAAAGTTCATGTGCACCTCAACTTCAACGTTCAAGAGAAGAGTGGTGTCGTGAAAATGTCTTTCAGACCAGAGACTTTGATGATCGGAGGTTGGGCAGAGACATAGATTATAGGCATTCAAGGAGAGATGTGGATGATAGGCATTTATCTCAAAGAAGCTCAGGTTCTGAGCTACATGGAATGCAAGCACAGTCTATGTTTCCTATGGCTGTGAGCCAACCAGTTTCTCAAAGGCCTTCTCTACTGCCTCGCCATGTACCTACGCACAACATGGGGTACTTGCAAAGCTCTGGCTCAATGCAAGAATTTCGCAGTCCGTCAGACAATATGTATCGAGAAACAACGGTACCTCATCAAGCTGTTTCCAAACTGTATCCAAGTAATCAACCTGTACTCCCCGTTCCTCCTCCTCCTCCTGCCCTGATGGATCGTCCCATCAGTCATCCCCAGTACTCTGGTTCTCAGAGGGATTATGGCCCAGGTAATGCTCCCCTTCTGCCTACTCCGAAACAATTTCCTAACTCCAAAGGTCATGCGGAAGAACTTGATAGGAGAAGTTCCATGCATCCCAGACCCCTCGTCCAGCCCAGTCCTCAAGTAGGAAGCAACAAACAGAGTGCAAGAGAAAGAATAATGCAAGGAATGGATCAAGTTGAGAAATTGGGTGTCAGTAGAAGTGGTGCTTTGCGCAAATTAAAATCTGATGTGCAAAAAGATCCAAGGTTAGAGAAAGAGCATCAGCGAATGGATGTGCAGAAAGATCCAAGACTAGAAAAAGAGCATCAGCGAATGGATGTGCTGAAAGATCCAAGGCTAGAAAAGGAATATCAGCGAATGTCTCTTGATGAGGAAGCTCTTAAATTAAGAGCAACTGCTTCTGGATTTAGTGCACCTGGAACACCTATTCTACCTCACAATATCTCTGGATTTAGTAGTCAAGTTTCTTTTGGATCCAGTGTTTTTCAGGGTCAACATGTTCAGTGGCAAACAACAACAACTACTGTTAAACAGACTACTGCTCATGATCTTGGCCTCCGTTACCAACCAAGGTCTCGGTATGGAAAGCCTACACACAACCCACAATTTGAAAGGGGGTTGCCTTCGAATGCGGCAAAGCAAAGTGATGATCGAAATTCAGGGCAGAGAGAAATTGAAAACCCAAGAAGGGATAATGAACTTTCTCATACCTCAGGGAAGAGGCTCTCAGACCCTAGATTATCTTCAAAAGCTGTCGATGAAAGAAAAAGTTCTGATGCAAGGAATGTTGACCCCAGAAGAAAAGAGGATCCAAGATCACCTCTAGATAGTTTGTATAACACACAGAAATGTAGTAAAACAGGCCAGGGATATGGCTTACAAAGTTACAAAATTCCTAAACGTGCTAAAGAACCAAGTCCTCCCAAAGACTGTAAGCAGGTGTCAAAGCCAGTTGCAACTGGTCCCTGCCTACCAGCCAACAGAGACCCTCGCTTATCTAAAACTGCGACTGTGCCACCTAGTCCTGACTCAGTCGCTGGAGCAGGAACTGAGTTTGCTTCAAGTTCCAGCCCTCTATACCCAGAGTCTTTCAAATCTGTTGAGGACACTCAAGGTGTGGTGAAAGATACAAATGAGAACTCATCTCAAGTAATTTCAACCAATGTGCAAAGAACTAGGTCGCCTTCTCCTTCTCTTGAAAAATCTGATAATAATAAAGTTAGGGACAGGGATGTGAGTCCATCTCTGGGAAGGAGTGAATCTATTATCAGCTCACAGTCAACGAATCAGCGCCAAAGTGGAGTGTCCTCAGAGAGACGAAGTCGGTCTCCATCTGTCAGTGGCAGTGTTTCGGGATCTCGAGCTAGATCAAGAGAAAGGAGTCCTGATTACAGAAGGAAATCAAAAGGAGCAAGCCCTTCTAGATCAAGAGCTAAATCTAGAGGCAGGAGCAAATCTATATCCCCAGCTCAGTCTAGTTCAAGAGTTAAAGGTAGAGAAAGAAGCCGCTCTAGCTCCAGAGGGAAGTCTAGTAGAAGAGCTAGAGGGAGATCTAGGGGCAGAAGCCCTTCACCATCAGATTCAAAGTTTACTGCCCGAAGCCCCTCCAGATCAAGGGCCAGATCAAGGGTACGGAGCCTATCTCGAGGGAGGAGCTCGTCTAGAGGAAGGAGTTCATCAAGGACCAGAGGGAAATCTCATGCCAGAAGTCCGTCCAGATCAAGGGGAAAGTCAAGAGGGAGGAGCCCATCTTGGTCGAGAGGCAAGTCACGAGGAAGGTCAAGATCAAGAGGGCGCTCAAGAGGAAGGAGCGTTTCTAGATCCAGAGGCAGGTCTAGGGGAAGGAGCCCATCTAGATCAAGAGGTCGATCCAGAGGAAGGAACCGATCAAGATCAAGAGGTCGATCCAGAGGAAGGAGCACATCTAGGTCAAGAGGTCGATCCAGAGGAAGGAGTACATCTAGGTCAAGAGGCAGATCCAGGGGAAGGAGTACATCTAGGTCAAGAGGCAGGTCTAGAGGAAGAAGCTCATCTAGGTCAAGAGGCTGGTCCAGAGGAAGGAGTACATCTAGAACAAGAGGCAGGACCCGATCAAGGGACAGAAGTATTTCCAGATCTCGTTCCAAACAAACTGCTAGGAGCAGAAACTCATCTCGTGGTAGAGATAAGTCAGCCAGTAGCAGTAGGTACAAGTCAAGAGCCCGTAGCCATTCATCGGACTCTGATATTAATTCATCATCTGGTGGTTGGAAGAGGAAGGAGAGTCCATCACCCGACAGGACAGACTCTACAAAAAGAGGGAATACAAAGAAAAATAGGAATAGGAGTACTTCCTCAGGTAGCAGTTTTTCAAGGGATTCCTCTCACCAACATCGGGCGGGCAGGGACAGACCTCGAGCCAGATCACGGGACCGTTCTCCCACTCGATGTGAATCAAAAAGAAGCTTGTCAAGAGAGAGTATTCAAAATGTCAGAAAAAACACTTCTTCCAGGTCCTCATCGTGTTCTGGTAGAAGTTCTCCTTTGTTTCCAAGGGACCATTCAAAATCAAGATCACCATCACCCAAGACAAACTTTGACTCCTTGTTCCAAAATCCATCTTCTGAAGCTGCAAGCTCAATATGCTCAGGCATGCTTAAAACAGATCAAACTGAAGATAAAGTTAAGAAGGATGCTGTTGTTAGCTCTTCTTTGAACTCATGTAGAGACGTTGTTGTTGATGTCCCAACATCGACATCTGAAAACATTCCAGAAGTTCCCATTAAATCAGATGTGGGAAGTTCAAGTGAAGCTGCTCCTGGAAGCATTACAACATCTCGAACCTCGACCGATTCTAAACCAGAGACAGGAGGCGCACTTGCTGACAGTGGAAATATTCTCCTTGGAATAATTAAAACATTAGCAAGCAAAGATCTCATTCAGTCAAACACTATTTTGGAGATAGCAGAATTGGCTGCAAGTCAACTACCTGAAGACACGCGTAACAAAGTGCTAGAACTTTTTAAAGAAAATATTGATAAGCCTCCAGAAGAACCCAAATCAAAAGCTACTGAAACTGTTGAGGAGCAGAAAAAAGTAGACATTCCTGAACCTAGTGTAAGCAGCAATATAAAAGAAGAACCCAGTGTAAGCAGCAATGTTAAAGGAGGAAAAAAGAAAAAAGAACCAAAAATTAAAAAGCAAGAAATATCACCAGAAGGATGTGAAAAAAAGAAGAAAAGAGGGAAAAACGAATTGGAAAAGCTCCATGAAGATATTCGGGAAATGTTTATTAGTAAGGAAGTAGTTACAGCCACTGGTCAAAGAAGTTGCCGCGTGCGGAAAGAAAATAAGGAATTAATGCAGGCTCCCAAGAGTCGTCCTGGATCTGCAGATGAGAAAAATAGACACTCGACTGGGAAATCAGGAACAGATGATGTTGGAGATTTTTCAGATGACAGTCCTTGCAAAAGTCAAGTTTCAGACTCATCTGATGTAACCTCAGATTATCAGCCTCCCGAAAACACTCGCAAAGTTAGGTACTCTAGTGAAAGCGAAGATGAAATGCCAGCTTTAAAATTACGCAAAGCAACAAATGATTCTCAGGAACCAATTTGTATCAAGAAAAAGAAGACAAATTTTCTTGATTCCGAGTCTGAGTCTGACACTGTTGTTGGTGAAGAAGGTTTCAAGTTTTCGTTGCCTGTGGTCATGCTAGATAAATCCTGTCCCACTAACCTTGAAAAGATTTATAGGAAAAATGTTGCGAGAAGGGGCAGGAAAGTTGGCTCTATGTCAAGAGACCAAGTAATGCCTAGAGAAGATATAAGCACTCCATTGTTAAGTGAGAATTTTGGTGAGGATGAAGAATTGAAGGTGGAAGACAAAGATATGTCTCAAATTGACACTAGTAATATAATTCAGGTTGAAGTTGGTAAAAGTAAACTAACAAGAAATCAATTAAAGCTCCTGAAAGGACCAGAGATGAAAGATGAAATAAAATCTGTTTCCAAGAGACCATTAAGATCCACTAAAGAAATTTCTGAATATGATAGTGATGCGTCTAAAGGTTCAGAAACCAACCTCACAAAGGATGATGCAGGTAGCCATTCTGCTTACGAGACCTCACCATCACCAGTTAGAAAGAAGAGAAAAATTAAAAAAGCTTCAAGTAACATATCATGTATATCTCAAGAAATCAAGATAGATGATTCTGACTCCATAATGTCTGGTGATATAAGCAAATCTGCTGCTTCTGGTCATTGTCAGGAGAGTGAAGAAATTAAACATGCGTCTGTTAGTAGTGAAGACCAACACACCTCTTCAAACAGTGATGTGGAGATGCATGAGATGCCATTGATTTCTCGACTACAGAATGTATCATCTGAAGAGAAAGAGCAGCTTGTGTCAAATCCTGAGTACCATGAAGATCTAAATTATTGTATCCCAACAGCAAGTGAGAAAGTGCGGTCTTGCAAGATTTGCCAGTATTCTGGAAAGATTATAGTGAGCCACTATGTATCTTCCCATCCATCTGAAGAAGTTTTAGCATCTCGCCTTCCCCAGAATATTGCAACTCTCTTGAAAGGTGAAGCTCATAAGTATCAACAGGAATTAAAACATCTAATTCCTCTGTATTATTCAAAAAAGAAAATATCTTGTCCCTTACAATGTTTGCTTTGCAATGCTGTTGCTCCCACCTCCTTACGTTTATGGGAGCATGTATCGACTCATACTGGAGAATATCGTTACTCCTGTACACAGTGTAGCTTCAGAACAGCCACAAGAATGTCAATGAAGAGCCATAGGAAGGCTCGTCATAATGGGAGACCTCTTAAAGAAATGTGCACCGTCTCTAGCATGGAAACAAGTACAGCTATGGTAATTGTGTTTGCATATGTCTGTTCTGAGTGCAACTTCTTCCAGCTACTTGAATCAAATTTATCAAAGCACTTAAAGCGATACCACTCACAGAATTTGAGTGCTCGATCCATTCGCATTAGTGTTTCCAAGAAAGTTATGGTGAAGCCTGAGGTAAGAATTTAATTTGTTTTTTGATGTGTGTTATTTATTATCTGCTAATATATTTATTCTTTTTTTTAATTTTCTGTTTACAGATGCTAGTTTCTGAAGAGGGAAATAAGGAAGCATTAACAGTTGAAGAAAAAGAAGAAAAGGAGACCCATCCCAGAGAGACGATATCTGAAAGGGAAAATAGTAACAATTATGTTGAAGAAGTAAATGTGATGTCGAAGGAAGCAAGTGAAAACAAGAAGGACCCTCCCCTACTTGAAACCCTCCTATCCAGCCCAACAAAGAAGCAACCTCCTACTGTTGATATGAGTATATTCATAGGATCTGAGCAACTTACTGAAGATGATAGTCAGTTGCAAGAAAAGAGGAAGAAGCTGTTGGAAGATGTTGGTGAAAAACTGCGAGATAGACCAAAGATCCGCCATTCAATCTCTGATAAGTTAAATAACCGTTTAACTGAACAGTTACCCAACTCTGTTGAGCTTCCTCATGTGGCAAGTGCATCCAAGCCAGTGGAAAATTCTGTTCCCTTCTCTCCTGGTGATAAGTTGTCTGCTCAGTTTAAAGCTAGTCTCAAGACACCTCCTTCCAGATCATCTTTGAAGTCCTCTGATAGTTCTGAAAAAAGGCTTACTAGGTCAACATCTCGAACAACTATCAGTGCTTCAGATTCTGAGTGTGAGATTATACCAGCAGACACGGAGGTTCCTGAAGAAGTGAAGGCACCTTTACCTGCCAGTACGTTACACTATACATTACAGCGCATGCAGGAAACCATAGCAGAACCTCTCCCAGCACCAAAGCCAAGTACTTCGTTTGCACCAGTTACTTTATGTGAAGATTCCTCTACTTTGGAGTGCCCTTGGAACAAAGAATCAATTAAAGTTGGTCTTGTTGAGGCCAAATATGTAACAGAAACTAAGACATTTCAGTTTTTCTGCTTGTCTAATAATTGTACATATATGTCCAACCAATCACTTACATTTCTGCAGCACATAAAGATTCATCCGATGAAACCAGTGTCAGCCCCTTGCAGGTATGCTGGCAATGTTCTTCTTGTCCAGTGTTGCCCCATATTTTCATAATGTGTTTACAATGAGTTAAATGTTTATGTTTGGTTCAGCCATTGTGAGGAGAGTGGAAATATCCTGCGCAACTTGCAGTCCTCAGTTACTCATATTTTGAAGTACCATTTGAAACCATTGAACTCTGGTGACAATTTGTTAACATCTGAAGAACCACCACCTGCTGTACCTTTAGAGACATCTGCATTTTTGGTATGAACTGTCCAATTTTATTCATTTCCAATGATATCAAATTATTGTTTGTCAAGGTGTTTTCATGTCTTGTTATTTTTACAGTCTCAGAAGCAAGTTCTGATACGACCTCGTAAGCTGCCTGGTGATACTTTGTCCCATTCGGATAAGAGACCCATTATGCAAGGTAACTTTAAAGAAAATTATCATTAGGACCAACCTTTACAAATTATTTTTTAACATCAACCAACTTTTTTAGGTACTCAAAACTTGCAGCCTGAACAAGACCGTCCTAGTTTGCCATCACTCATTATTTCCAGTGTTGTCAGCTTATCAAAGGCAAGTGCAGTCCCTCTTACTATCCAATTTATGTTTCATTTAGTGGATTGATTCATTTGACTGAAGTCATGTTTTGTTTCAGGATCACACTCCAGATGGAACCCCTCTAGAAGAGCAGGTGAAAATTCCTTCAACTTCTTCTCATGGTAAATTTATCCTTCTATTCCTTCAGACATAAAAACTTGGTTTTTTTGTGGTTTTATCCTTCATTAATTACCTTTGTTGAAACTGACATTTTAGAAACGAGAGGTGGAGATTTGGGCATTGTCAGACTCTCTTCATCACCAAGGTTAGCCTAGTGTTTCTCTTTTGTGCTACAATCTCGGTGTTCTAAAGATCATCATGTACTAATTATGTTTTCCTTTGTTTTAGTTCTAAAACTGTTTCTGAAATAACAAAGGATTTATCAAGCATGCGAGAAATGATGAGATATGAAAAGCTTTGTCATCTATTTAAGTGCAAGGGCAAGCATTGTTCTTTCAGCACAAACTCAAAGGTATGTTCATTTGCAGTAATATTTTAGTTATGTGCATTGTGTCTCGTCTTTTTTTATGTGTAAATAAATTAATTTTTCTGCAGGAGGTATTTTCTGATCACTATCATAAACACTCACTGAAAGAATTGAAAAGAAGTGATTATACAGCTTCCAAAATGCACGAATGGCAGAAGTGTGTTTACTGTTCTTCCCTTAAAGATTCTGGTACTGATTTAGTTGATCACATAATATCAAGACATGGCTCCCTGAAGTACCAGTGTTCAAGCTGCTTTTACAGGGCCACCTCTGCTGCAAGTGTGGCCTTCCATCAGGTAAATGACCTTGTCTTGTCATTATGGTCAAATTTTATTTAATTTCTGAACTTTGAGCTAGCAAAGCTACATGATGTTTGTGTTTGTAATTTGTTTGATTATTCATCGTTCCTTTCAGAAATCTTTACACAACACCAATGTAATGGTGCTTGAATGCAACAAAATTCAATGTGGTCAACAGGCTGCACCTGCTGACATCGCACTGAACAAATTGAAATTATACAAATGTGTTCAAGGTGAGTAGCCTCCCTCTTATATTTTGAAGTGCATCAAATCATGATAGCTGCCAATCCATGATGTCTCTTTTGTCTTGCAGTTCAAGGACATATTGACTGTGGAAAGATATTTGTGTCTTCAGAAAGCTTCATATCTCATCATGAATCCGAACACAATTCAGACAAAGTTTTCTTCTGTAGTGAATGTGGCCTGGGTCTTGACAGTTCCAATCGACTCATATATGTAAGTATCAATGAAATTTTATTTCTCATTGAAAGTATTTCAACTCATCTAATCGCGTTAATGCCACTCCCAGCACTACAGTTCTTCGCATTCATACCGCAAGTACCATTGCTTTCACTGCCCAAAAGCATCAGAGACTCCCAGGGAAATGAGTTTCCACATGACTCTGGATCATCCTGATCAAGATATGATCGTTGCTGCACGGCACCTTCCTGTAAGTCCTTTGTATTATTTCTCACTGTCAAAAGGGAAAGCTGCCAATTTTACATTAATAAAAAATTTGTTTTCAGGGTACTGTCTCATTGTCAAATGGTTTCAAAATTGGCGCGTTTGATTTGGGAGAAGAGTTTTTGATACCTTATGTGCCGCCATTTACCCCACTTGTAATAGAGGCTGTTGAAACTGACACAAATAATGATCCAGCTCATTTTGATGAAGAATTTTCCTTGCCTTGTACAAGCTTTGAAATCAAATCAAATGTGTCATGGCCAGAATATAGAGTTTCACCGGAATGTGACAACCCTGATGCCAACAGTGTTGAAAAGATCAAACCTGATGATGTAGTTGAAATTAGGGATGAACCTCCTGATCAGGCCAAAAAAGGAACAGGAGTAGTTGGTCTTTCTGGAGCCTGTTTATATTTGTGTGGTTATTCAGGTAGTTTTCTGCTTCACTGTTTTTAAACGATAGTTTTTATAAAATTGCTAATTACATGTTCATTCATTTGATTTTCAGGATGTTCATTCAAAGCAGAAACATCTCTTGCTCTCAAAGATCATTTAAGTGTGTGCCGTTTATCAGTAGATTCTGGAAATTTATCTTGTTTACACTGTCAAAAAATATTCAGATATCCATCCATGTTCTTGGATCACTTGCCAAAGCATGGTGTTCCCCGATATCTTTGTAGTATGTGTGACTATAAAACTACACATCCAGCTATTGTGATGAGACACTGCAAGAATGTGCATAAAATCTCATCAGTATCCCTGACTCCTGTCAAATCTGACCAGATGGATGATTCAAATGGCACCCTTTATACAGCTTGCCAAAAGGTTTGCATCAACTGCTCCTAACTTATTATCACTTGCCTTAAAAATTTTCACACTTTGACATTTTAAGTTCTTTTAAAAATAAATATTGGCACCTCTTTGTGTTACAGGAGACAGCAACAAAGAAAGGCAAAGTCAAACTTTCACAACCTATTGCCAACAAAACTTGTTTTGGTCCAAGCGAAAGACATTTGCTTCCTTTCGCAGCTGTTTTCACCCAAAATGTAATGTGCGCACTTTGTCAATATTCTACTAAAGTGCGTAGCAATATGATGAGACACCTGGAGCAACATGCTTCAGGATGTGAGCCCACTTCAGTCCCTGTATTAAATCCAGTGCCTTGTTTGGAGCGCAATGAAAAAATGTTTGACACAATGACTAATCATGCCATTAGTTCAACCATTCCTGTGCGCCGTGATAGTAATGCATTCAAGGTGAGTGTTCTTATTCTTAATGATACTACTTATATTAGAGCCATTATTGTATAGTGTCCTTTTTATATTTTTTTTCCCTTTAAATACATAGAATTTCTTATCAATTCATTTATTTTTCCCAGGTGATAGACGAGCCTAAGTTTGTACCAGAAAATCAAAGATATGTATGTTGTGCCCCATCATGCCCTCAGATATCATCCGATGATGCTATGTTAAGGCATCATATTCGGGTCTTGCATCCTGAAATTCTTGTTTACAAGTGTCCACATTGTCCTGATTCTGATAGTGATAGCAACAAACAACCTATAATGTTAGAGAAACTGGGTTCACATCTGAAAATGCATGATAGTCGACTCTACAGTTGCCTGGGTTGCAGTTACTATCATTACCACAGGTAATCAACAGTTCAGCCAGGAGCCCGCTAGTAATAGTTACCAAGTTTCTTCATCTCTCTTTGCTGTTTCATTTGTAGGTTCATTGTTGAACGCCACACCAGTGAGAAGCATCCTGATCAGAAGTACATCAGAATAGCTAGGGAGCCTCAACCTGATGGATCTGTTATCAACACAGACTCTGAAATAGTGAGCGATGGCACCTATGAGTGTGGGCTCTGTTCTTTCAAGGGAACCAAGGCAGAAGTGACGGCACATGTATCTTCAGTCCATCATACAAACGCTTTGTACAAGTGCAGCCTTTGTAATTTTAGGTCTAATGCTCGATCTCGATTCAGTACTCATTTCTCTAAACAACACCCTAATGATAAAGAGGACATTATTGAAGTGGTCCAAAAGGTAAAAGAAACAAGCTATAGAACTTCAGTGTGTATGTATGTAAGAAACTTTTTTTTCCTATTTATTATTTAACTTGGTACTCATTATATTTTAGTGCAAGATGGATAAGCCTTCAGAAGATGCTCCACAGCCAGTGGTTGAGATTCCTGCACCACCAGTTGAGCCGCCGGTGTTTAATTCGAGTCCATTGTGGCAGAGGGGCGGATCACGAATCAGGCATTTGCGAGGAATTTTATTTGAGGAAAATGGAATTAAACCTAAAGAGTTTGAGGTTGGTATCTCTGATGTTCTATACTATTATTATAGAACAGTTTTGAAACTGTCAGTTTATTATTATTATTCAATATGTCAGCTCCCTGCAGACGATTTCAATGTTTCTTTTCTGATTCTAGCACGTCAGTGTGGAGAGAGAGACCCCTGTCAGCATGAAACGATCACTAAGCTCAACTAACAATGAAGAGCGACATAACAGCAAAAGAGAAAAAAAGAGTGATCATTTCTTTGAGTGTTCCAAATGCTTGACTAAGATACCTGTGGAGAAAGAGAAGGACTATAGAGAGCATCTTCGATCTCACTTCCAAGGGTATGTTAATATTTCTAGTGTCAATGTTTTTTGTTTCAGTGCTTGTCAAGAGTTAAATTTAATTTTTCTGTTTACAGTGATGACTCTAGGTTCAAGTGTGCTAAATGTCTGAAGACCTTTGCATTGTACGATGAAATTATCACTCACATTACTGTAGCTCACCAACTGCTAGCCACTTCATCAGATGTAATTGACTCTCATTCAGAAGAAAATGTAAGGCTATTGTTAATTTTCCTTCAGACATTGCATTTTTTTGGTTGGTGTTTAGAATTTGTATGTGGTTTGCTTTCAGATCAAGTTGGATATCACGCGTCAGATTTTAAATTTGGGTCTACCTGTTGAGTTTTTAGCATCCAAAACTGCATTTTCTCAGTGTCAAGATCAACTTACTATATCTCCAAAACCAGCTGAAGTCAGCCCGAGGAGGGTAACAAGCCCCAGGAAACCACCATCAAGTGGAAATAGACAGAATACTCAAGGCCCTGGTAAAGAATCTTCTTTTGGAAAATCTTCCATTCCATGTGACAACATTTCTTCTCCAAGTGTGCACTCTGATAAGAGTTCTCAGTCATCACCAGTGAAAGGAATCAAACCTTTAGACAATAGGCCCTCTTTAAAACCCATGCAAGCTGATTTGCCTTTGACCCAATCTGCAAAATCAGATGAGTCACCCACTGACCCATCAACTGCTCCTGGTGGGTATCAAGGTGGCTTTCTGTATAGAATATTCTCTTTTGGTGTTACTGGACCTTTTTTAAAATCAATTATGTATTTTTTAATGTATATTTTTTGTGTCAGATTTGCCTGTATGTTCTCTTGATAACAAGATTGATGCTAATTGGAGTAAACCTCCTGATGAAATGGAAATTGATGAGAGTGCATTTGAGATGGACATTGAGGAAGTTGAGGATGAAGACAGTAATGTGGTTGAAATTGGCTCTAAAGACACAGAGAGCGCATCAATGCAGGGAGAAAGATTGCATTCATCTGAATTAATGAAAGGTATTCATCAAACCAAACTTTCAAATTATATTTGAATTTTTTTCTCTCATTTTTTTATTAACTTATATTTTTATTTTTAAAATCTGTCAGATTTAAGCACTGGTGTGGAATGCAAATATAAGGACAGCCACGGCTGCAACTTCATCAGCAAAAACAAGCAAGAGGCAACGGCTCATGAAAAAAAGCATTGGGAGGTGAAACCATATAAGTGTGGTCATTGCAGCTATCAAGGTGGGTGAATAGCTCCATTTTTGCTCATTTGCGTGCATCAAGATTTTTTCTTCACTTTTAAACAATGTTGAGTACTGTTGCTTTATTATTAATTAATGTTTGTTAATTTATTTTTTCTTGTACTATAGCTATTAAGGAGTCTTACATTAAGCTCCACAGTAGGAAAAAGCACCCTGCCTCAAGTGTGATGATAATGTTGAATGAGATGCCAGATGTTCCAAGCATTATACCACTTTCTCGCCAGCAAAGCAAACCAAGGTGAGTTTTGATATAAGTGCCAGCTGAAATCCAGGCATTATTTTGATTGGCCATCTCTAAACTTCCCTCTTTTTCTTATTCTTTCAGCTCATCATCTGCTGCAAGCCCAATTACATCCAAAAATGTTTTGGGTGATAACAAGAGTCAAGATGAAGATCGAAGAGTAGCCGAACTGATGGATGATGATGAACTATTTAAATTTATGAATGTACTACGCTGTGGATACTGTAGGCTTCGAGAAATATCATTATGTCGGCTGTTTACCCACTGGCAATCTTGTCATAAGGGAAATGAAGCACTGCGTGACACAACTCTCGATGACCGTTGCGTTGTACCTTTTAAGTTTCGAGAGGTGTGTTGGTTTCTCTTTTTAAACATATTTCCAGTGTCTGGTATTTCTTTAAGATTAAAGGATTCATGTAATTTTTGTTATTTTGTTGTTGCTTTAGCTCAAGCTGGGAACTCATGAAAAAGAGACGATGGCATTTCGTTGTGCTCTTTGCAATAGAACTGGGACAATAAGATTGCTCATTGAGCATTACCCCACTCGACACCCAGGAGAAAAACTGAAGATTTCTGGGCTCATTCATGATCGCCTTCAGTGCTCGTTATGCCCCCGACAATTTAGCAGCAAGGCCGCTCTTACTAGCCACTTCGCCTCATTACACCCAGGGGAAAATGTTAGCTCCTTTAAAGTGAAAACTCAAGAAAACGAATCTGTTGATGCCACGTAAGTTAATCTTGATCTGGTGAACCGTACTAGTGGTCACGCCAATTCAATTTAACAAATAATGTTTCCGCACTTTTCTTGCTCCTATTTTAGTATGGAATGCTTCTACTGTTCTGACCTGGTGAAGATATCTTCGGACTTGAAGGAACATCATTTGAAGTTTCATTCTCACCTTCCTCCCAAATTCATAGAGATCGAATCCAGTGAATCTCAAGGCCAGCTGCAACAAAATGAGGTTTGTCATCATTCTTAAGTTATTCCTGACACTATCTCCTCTTACACTGACAACAAAAGATACAAAAACTGTTGAATACTCCAAGTCTGTCTCTACTTAAATCCATCATACCTTTGCTTCCAAGTGAATTGGGAATTGGCATTGAATATCTATTACTTTTGTTACAGAATTCAAACTCCATGAACTCTCAGAGTGAGGGAAATCTCCATGATAAAGTAGTGCTTCCCAGTAGGCCTTCTGTGATTACATGTTGCAAGTCTATTTTAAATGAAGAGAGACCATCAGCCACTGATGCCAAGACTGCTGAAACTATTGTTGTACCTCAGAGTCCAGTGAAAAGAGCTGTGGCAAGGAAGTCAACCACCAAAGTTCGGGCTGTGGCCCGAAAATCCACTGGTGGCAGAGTCCGTCTCAGCTTAGTTCAGTCTGATTCAGAGAGCAGTTCGGATGAAGATTACTCAAGTGATGAAGAGAGATTGATTGACATAAATAAAATTACATGCCCTGTAATGTTTGAAGGATCGAGGACCCGAGTCAGTGTAGCTACTTTATCACAGGTAATGATTAATCAATCATCAATTATTGTACACTTAATCCCATCCATGTTGCTCTTTCTCGTATTTATGGTTTATATTTATTTTTTGCAGCATGCTAATCTTTACCCAAGAGTCGTATTGAATCCGGTGTTGCCCCGTGTTGAAAGCAGAAGTGAGAGCTCATAGTCTGGTGTCTGTTACTCTTGCAAAGGAAGATGTAGGGGGACTGAACCTGGAACAAACTTCCATTGTTTTATGTTTGTTTTCTTTTCTGTTTTGTTTGAGACAACTTACCCCTGGTGAAGTTAGTCAGATCTATCTATTTTTTTTACAAGTCTGCCAAAAATCTGTGATGCACCTTGGTTTCTATTAAGGGTTATTTGTTTTGTACTTATGAAAGTGCATTGTGTTTACTGTTAAATCTTGAGTCCCTTGTCAATGTTCATTACAAGTCCCATTATCACACACTTTAATTTATTTTCATATTGTCAGTCTTGTGCTTTATCACTCTTAATTTATTTGCCCTGTAAGATATTTTCATTAAGTTTTCCTGTTCTATTCAAAGAAAGGGGGGAGGGGGGGATCTCATCTTTAGCTTGTTTTAATTTTGACTGGCAGATCTAAGTTCCTCTTGTTGCTGGACTACTTTGACAGTACAAAAATTTTCTATCTACTTCTTGCTCATAGTTCCTTTTGCCGTTATTTTTGGGTGTGCTTTTTCTTTTTTTGTATATTTGTAAGTATTAGTTAGTTACCAATCATTGAAAGAAATGTATTAAGAGGTTGTTCTTGTAGTCAAGTGCATGTGAGCACTAGGAACTCAGTTAGTTCCTCCTGTGTTGATCAGTGTTAAGTCTTAAAACTCATGGAATGAAAGAATAAGTGTCCATAATTGCATTGTTACAAAGTGAAGACTGGGTGTGCACAATAAATCTATTTTGACAATTCTCTCTCAAATTGAATCAAAACATAGTTATGATTTTAAGGGAAGTTCTAAGGCCCTGTCCCAAACATTGCCATTCTTAACAGATGCCAGCATTTGAAGTCTAACACTTGGTCACCAACTCAGAGTGCTGGGATAAACCGGCTCACGCCAGCGTGACGGTATCGGCTGGAGCAGCAGTCACCAGAGTGACCGCAGCCGCAAAGCCCACGGGCCAGACCATCCCAGTACTCTACACGTTGGTTGATACAAGCTGACAACCCAACTGATCGTAGCAGTTGTTTCAGGTGGGTGCTTAGAAAACACGATTACTTGAAAGTTGAAAGATTACATTTATTGGAAAGGTGAAACACACGTAACAAAACTTAAAATTAAATAAGAAACTCAAATCCTACTGTAAAAGTAAATAAAATTAAAATAATGATAGAGTTGGTACAGAAAGTAAAATTAATGTGAGGCAGTAGCACCTTTCAGTACAGTTTCTCCCCTGGTCTACAACAAAAATCTCAGTAAAGTAGGGTGCCTTAGCATTTACCTAATTCACGTCATACATTGGTGCAAACCAGCAAAGAATTACTAACAATACAGAGCAGTTCACTTAGCATTGTCAGAACTTAGAGCTTTACTAAAAAGGTCTTGAATGAATTCTAAATCTGGAAACTTCTCCTTGCGAGGTGGTCCCTTCTTGATACCGCTCCATAAAAGTAGATCTGTAAATACCAGTTTAAATCAGAAGATGCAATCAAAGAAAATGACTCCATTCACAGGACAAAGTACTTACCAGGCTCATCATCTCTAACTAGAAGCAATTCAAATGCACCCCTTCTAGGCTTCTCAGGGTTGTACACTGCTTCCAGCTCAGGGCAATGCTGACGAAGAGCATTAACTACTTCATCAGCACGGCGTTTAAACACTTGTCATGATTTGCTGGGAAAATAGGCACAACAATATAAGTATAAATTTACTAGGAAACATCGCCTTACAAATCACTGCACAAACCTTGTGACTTACCAGTGCTCAATGGCTATCTTAGTCTTGCCATTTCGAGTTGCTTTCGCTTTGGCAGGCGGCGCAACCACAGGCTCTTCTGGAACTTCTTTCTTTGATCGGCCTTTCTTCGGTGGTGCCGGGGCATCAGCTTCCTCCTGAGCCACTTTCTTTGGTCGGCCTCTCTTCTTAGGTTCAGCAGCCTGGAAATCAAGGTTCAGAAACATTACTCAAAATAATGACAGCAAAAAGAGTGCCAAAAGACTGGAGTTTCCATACCTCTGGTAAACTTTCTGTGGCATCCTTCTTCGTTTGACCCTTTTTAGATGCTTTCGATTCCGTCTCTTCCTTCTTGGACTGTGCTTTCTTTTTAGGAACATCAGCATCTTCAGGATCTTGCTGTTGAGGCTTCTTGGGTGCAGCACCCTGACAAGAGAAAAAGACAAAATGTTTAGCACCAGCAACAACAGAAAAAGAAATGAAAAGACCAGTAAAACTTGCCTCCTTTAGAGCGGCTTCTTCCAGAATTTCCTTCTTTGTTCTTCGCTTTTTAGGTGCATCAGCTTCTTTCTTTGGTTTCTCCGCTTCGTCTGCTTGAACTTCCTTCTTGGGTCGCCCTCTCCCTCGTTTCGTAGGTTCAACAGCATCATGCAAATCTTCTTCGACCTTTTGACTATTCTTCTTACTGGCAGTTGTCTTCTTACCGGGCTTCCCATTCGCATCTTCCGCATCAGCGTCCTTTTGAGCACCTCTCTTCTTGGGGGCTGCTCGAGGTTTTTTTGCAGGTCCTGCTTCAGAGGATGTCTCTTCGTTGGCACTGACTGCAGTTCGTTTGGTCCTGGACTTAGCTTCGGCAGCAGCCTTCTCCTTGACCGGCTTGGCTTTGACAGGTTGCTTGGCTCTTCCTTTAGCTTTGACAGGTGGACCAGCATCATCGGAAACATCACTGGCACCGTCGTCGACCTGGGCAACTTTAGCGCGCGGGGGTCTACCCCTGCCCCTTTTGACGGGGGACTTTTCAATGGGGGACATGGCAAGGTTCGCCATCTCTTCGCCATTTTGGTCGTCTGTGCCACCATCGCCATCCTCACGCTCGCCATCACCCTCACTGTCATGTTCCTCTCCCTCGCTCTCGTCCTCGCCTTCGTCTTCAACCTCACCAGCGTGCTGCTCATCGCCGTCCTCGTCGCTGCTGGCGTTGGCTCCGGCAGCTCCGGCCTCCTCGTGCTCCTCGTCTTCGACGCCGCTGCCGTGGCCGACGCTGCCATCTTCCTCGCCGGAGCTCGCAGAATCCCGTCCCTTCTCCATTTCTTCCTCGAAGGGACGCGACAACACAACACGAGAAACTTGGACGCAGGAAACGCTCCAACAAGCACGTGTGACAACGGGTTGGCTTGCTGTTCTGACGGGACGGGACGCGACGCAACAACCCCCGGCTCGGCCGGCTGACAGTCAACTGGGACCAGGGATGCTGGACCGGAAGCCGGATGCCACCCCTACCCCCACCCCGTCGCCCGGCCGGTATGAGAAATCGTCTGAGCGCGCGCTTGGCGCGAACGCGCGAATGATGGCAGTGGTTGTCCGTCTCCGCTCCGCGCTGCTCCGCGCTCAGCTCGTCAATGGGATCCATTCGAACGTCGCTCAGAGGTTTCGGATGCGCGTCACCCAAGCAGCGAGCAGACTTCGAACAGCGCACTCCGTCGCTGTCCCTCTCGCACTCGCGGGGCATGCCGGCATGCCGCAGGGGTGCGAGAGAGACGGAGCGCGACGTTCGGACTCGCTCCGCCCGTGTTCGCGGCCCGCGCTTTTGGAGTGGTTTGGGCCTTTGGGCACTGCCTTTGAGGCCGATAGAGAGGTGCCGAGGTGAGGCAAGGTGGGGCGAGCTGGCGGCGGTGGGGACGTGGTGGGGCCGCAGCCGGCCCAGCCCAGGGCCAGGGCCACGCTGCCTCTAGCTGCTTCGCGCTTCGCGCTTCGCGCCGCGTCGCGCCTCTGGTGCCACTCGACCCGCCTCCAGAGTCGGTGTCAGTCGCGTCCGCCCGAACCTCGGCGAGCACATCGACCAGCGTGAGTACCCGCAAGCCGCACCTGGCGCTATCCCCAGTACACTGATTGTCGTTGTCGTCGCTCTGTCTCTCTCGCACCTCCACGGAGCGCCTCAGGGGTGCGAGAGAGACAGAGCCAGTCTGCTGGGGCCGGTGCCGCGCCGTCCTCGCGGTCACGCCGCCGCCGCTGGACCCGTCTCGTCTCGGGTTCACACTTTTTGGCCGCTGTCCAGACCCGCCGAGGGCAACACTATTCCGGTTGCGAAATCCGCGCGTCGCGTCGCGTCGTCCACGGGACTCGGCCAGACGGATGGGACAGTGAGGCAGCGCAGCAACCATATCCTCGGGGCTTGTGCCTGTGTGAGATAACGCCGCAAGGCCTCGCAGTGGACTTCCCCCGGCTTGCTCCCGGCCGCCTCCATGACCATCGTGATGGTGCTCTCCACGACGGCGTGCCGCTCGGGAGCACCGGCCCATGCCTCGTGGGTTACCCGCCACTCAGTTTCCGCGGTTTGTGCTGCACGGCCTTGGCCTGGGCCACCGAGGGCCGCATTAAGTACGGAGGTTTCGATGGCCGACAAACCGCTCCCGAAATACAGAGCGTTGGGTGGCGGCCGGTGGCGGCGCCTCGCCGCCTCGCGGCCCGGTGCCGGTCTCTCTCGCGCTCGTGGGGCGTTCCGTCAGGGTGCGAGAGAGGCAGAGCGACACACCACTGTCGGGAATCCGCCGTCGGCCTGCAGGCCGGTCAGAGAGATGAATAAACTTGTCCACGAGGCGGCAGAGCGGCGGCGGCACGGCGGCACGGCGGCCAGTCCGAAGCGAACCGCAAAGTGGCGGCAAACGCGCACCGCACCGTGCCGCGCCGAACCGCAATCAGAAGCGGCACTGCTGTTCCTGATTCACTCGCCGAAAATGAGTCAGTGCGCCTCGCGTGCTGCCCCCACCCTTTCTTATCTTCCGTATATTTTTTTGAGATGTTCTTTCTTTCGGCGCGGCAATTTTGAAGCGATAAAAAATAATAAATAAATTTGCGCGCGCGCACCCGGAAAGCGAAAGTGCAGAAATGGAATATGTTGACGCGGAGGCCTTCGCGGGGCGGTGCTAAGAGGCACTAAAAAGACGCAAAGCGCGCAAAGCGGCCCAAAAGACTTAAAGGCTTACTGGCGCCGCTGGCGCGCTCCAAGCGGATGGACTGAGACTGACTCGCGCGTCGAGTCGACTGAGAGACTGCGACGCCGATTCTTTGAAAGCCGCTTTGTGCAAACACCGAGCCGGGGCACCGGGCTCTGTCTCTCTCGGACTCAGGGGGCGCCCCGTCAGGGTGCGAGAGAGACGGAGCGAGAGAGCGGCGGCAGGGCGGCCTGGTGCCTTCTGTCTCCCCGGCGGTGACGCGAGCCACGAGCATCGGGCATTCTCATTCTTTTCAAACGGAATGTGCGCGATTGCGAGCCTTCTGTCTCCGAGGACGCCGAACAGGAAACGGGAATGCGCGTCGCGGATGCTGGAGTCTGCCGAGTCGCGGCGACAAGTCCAGCCGAGACCCAAAGACCCAAAGACGCAACGCAAGGCAGGCAAGGCCGCTGATTGGCCGAGCAAACAGCAAACAGCGCAGTGGCGAAGCTGGCGTAGTGACACGACGCGGTGGCGACACTTGCGCGACGCACCGACCGGCCATTCGCTCTGTCTCTCTCGCACCCTTCCGGAACGCCCCATGAGTGCGACAGAGACAGAGCGACGGGCGGCCACGCTGCCGCCTGCTGCCGCCTGCAGCCCGCTGGGTAGGCAGCCCGCCGGCGTGGCACCCCGCCCCGCCCTAAGGGGCCATGGCGCCTGGCGGGCAGGCCGTCCCGTCACGCAGCGCTGCCGACAGGGCTGCCCGGCACCGGCCGTCAGGCGTTTTTTCTGTCGTGATTTGTTATTCTTTTCAAACGTTGGTCTTTGATGCCGCCAGCCTTGACCTGTCCAGGGTCGCTACCTGTACTTTCCTGGTCCCTTCCACTGTGACAGCCCATCAATGACGGTGCGAGTGTCAGAGTGTCAGCGGCTGGTGCGTAATAGGCGAAGCGAGGCGAAGCGCGAGGAGGTGTCAAACTCAAAGCCGGCGCCGATTCATCCGTCTTCGAACGGCCTCTCGCCGCTCTGTCTCTCTCGCACCCCTGCGGGGCGCGCCTCGAGAGCGAGAGAGACAGAGCGGCGACGGCGGAATCACTCGGCGGCAGCGACTAAAGAAGTCGCTCGGAAGTCGCGACGGCACATGGCGCGGTTTGGCACATGGCACGGTTTGCCGGTGCAGGAGCCGGCAGCCCAACCGTGTCCCCCCGCCCGGCCCGTGTGCCGACCATAGACCAGTAGACTGATCAAGTGAGTCGCTTTTCGTCGCTGTCTCTCTCGCACCTTCACGGGACGCCCCGTGAGTGCGAGAGAGACAGAGCGACGAAGAAACGGCCCTCGGAATCAGTCTGCAGGCCAGCGCGACCAGCTCACCTGCGTCCTTCCCTCTCCTATCCTCCCCTCCCCGGCGGCGCGGCGGCGCGGTGCCCTGCAGCGAGATTAGATAGCTGCGGCCATATGGCTCGGATGCCCGCCATGCACCGATAGGATAGCGGAGGCCCTCCTTGCCGTGTTTACCAATGCCGCAAAATTCAATATTCTAATTATTTTTGTTTTCAATTTTCAAGAAAAAAAAGAGCGCTACGAAAATCACGTACTAACACCGAGAACAGCAGCTGTCTTTTCTGCTTTGATTTTAAAAGCCGTTTCGAGAGATTACAATGTACCAAGCGGTCCGTCCTGCGGCGAAAACGGAAAGGCGATCTTGAAGTGATAATTCCGATTGCCTCGATGAGGGCGGCCGAGGGTCGCGGCGACGCTTGCAAGCATGGCGATGGTGGCGAGGTCGGACGCCAGCTTGAAGCTCGAAGCCCAATCAGGACGGCGGCACAGGAAGGAACCATTCAAGCAGAGCGTCACGCCATTGTCAAGTCGTCAGCAATCGAACATTTTTTTTAGAACTTTTTTTTATCTCTCGAAGTAATTATTCAAGTGATGAAGTGTTGATCAGGAAAACCTGGCTGGGGTTACGAAGCGCGCGCGTCCTATAGTCGCCGTTTCCTCGTTCGCTTCGTTCGAAGTTCGCGTTCTCTGTCTGGCAGCAGGCCTGCTCCGGAGGGCGCTTTCGTCGCTCTGTCCCTCTGCCGCAGTCGCGGGGGGTGCGAGAGACCGAGCGAGTGGCGAGTCGGCCTGCCTTGCCTTCCTGCAGCCCATCGAGTGCGATACAGGAATATACGATGGCGCGGCCTGCTCCTCGAGTGTGTCTTGGAGTGGCCGGGAGAAATAGCGTCACTGATTCCGAGACTAGTTTCGTCGCTCTGTCTCTCTCGCACCCATGCGGGACGCCACGTGAGTCCGAGAGAGACAGAGCGACTCTCTGAATCAGTCCACAGGTCGGGTGGCGCCATCACGGTCGAGTCGAGCCAGTCGAGCGGACGGTCTTCACTTGTAAGTCAGTTTTTGGTTGTCCACTGTGCAGGCTGTTCGGCATGGCGCCCGCGATTCGAGAGCTCAGCCCCGAGCTGGCGGAGAGGGCCAAGAAGGAACTCGGCGAGGACCCGGCCAGGCGGCAAGAGGACATCGACCACGTCAAGGCATGGCTGGCCAAGCAGAGCTTCCTCAACGCCAACACAGGTAAATGAAGCCGAAAAATAAAATAAAGTTAGCGGGTGGGGTCGAACCCGAGAACGTGCCTCCGAAACGCGAGTCGGTAGCCACGCACCCAAAGTCTGACTCTCCTCCACAGATGACCAATGGATCCTGACGTTCCTCCGGGGCTGCAAGTTCTCGCTGGAGCGCACCAAGGCCAAGCTGGACAGCTACTACACCATGCGCACGCTGCTCCCCGAGTTCTTCAGCAACAGGGACCCCATGCTGCCCGAGATCCAGGAGATCCTCAAGCTCGGGTGCGTGTCTGGCCGCGTTTCATCATTCATCGTTCATTCAACGACCACCTAATGTTTCAACAGCGTGTAATGGCAGGCTCTGCTTCCCGCTGCCGCACCCCGACCCGCAGGGCCGCAAGATCTTCTTCATGAGGGTGGGCCAGTACGACCCCTCGCGCGTCAAGCTCACGGACATCCTCAAGCTCAACTACATTAACATGGACATCGTACTCAAGGTGAGTCCCTGCGAGTCTCGACCTCGACGGCGTCGCTCTGCAGACCGATTCCGAGAGTCGTTATCGTCGCTCTGTCTCTCTGGCACCCCTACGGGACGCCCCACGAGCGCGAGAGAGACGGAGCGACGAAAACCCTGGCTGGGCTGCCCGCAGGACGACGACCGCACCTTCATCTGCGGCGACGTGCTCATCCTGGACATGCGCGGCGTGACGCTGGCCCACGCGGCCCAGGTGCAGCCCGCCCTGCTCAAGCGCACCAGCACCGTGTACCAGGACGCGTACCCCGTCAGACCGCAGGGCATCCACTACGTGTACCCGCCGCCCTCCTTCGAGACCATGTTCAACATCATCAGGTCCTTCATGAAGGACAAGCTCAAGAAGCGGGTGAGTACGCGCGACCCCGTTTTCGAGTGCTTCCTTGTGGGATATTCGCGGGAAAGTTTACTAGCCAGGGGAAGACCTTCGGCCTCGATGCTGAGCTGGATTCTGCTGGAGATGGTAATGCATTTTCATCAGTAGTAAATTTGGATGTGTTTATTTTGAAAATGAGCCTCTTTTCTTTTTGGGGGGTGATAGCCAGGAAGTATGCTTTTGCGCAAAGGATTGTGATTCGGCAATGGTTGGTTTCTCCTTGAATCGACGGAAGGCTATTTAATAATCTAAAACTAAATGTTCCAACCAATCCTAACCTAACCTAACGGGCTCGTGACAGATCTTCCTCTACTCGCGAAAGATCATACCCTACTCGCGACAGATCTTATTCTCAAACTAAATGGCCTATGAAGCTTGGCGTACGACTATGGAGCTTGGACTATTGAGCTTGGACTATAGAATATGGACTATGGAGCTTAGACTATGGAGCTTGGACTATGGAGCTTGGACTATGGAGCTTGGACTATAGAGTTTGGACTATGGAGCTTGGACTATAGAGCTTGGACTATAGAGTTTGGACTATGGAGCTTGGACTATAGAGCTTGAACTATAGAGCTTGGACTATGGAGCTTCGACTGTATACGCATATGAATATAGTAAAAATAAACAGAGGAAGATACCTCTTGTAAACTAAAGGTATCAGGGGGGGGGGGGGTCGGACAAATGAGCTATTCAAAATCCCAAACAGGGTGCTTCGCTTCGCTCAGCAAAAAAAAAAATTAATGTTGCAGCTGACGCTGCACGGCGAGAACGACATCACCTCCCTGTACAAAGACATCCCCCAGAGCTGTTTGCCGAACGAGTACGGCGGCGAGGCCGGCACCATCGACGAGCTGGCCGGTGAGTGGGAGGTCCTGCACCGAGTCCTGCCGAGCCCTTGTCCCAATGCACAGTGGGCCAAATCTCGGGCGCTTTTTGAGCCCTAAAGTCGTTAAATAGGACTCGAACCGAACGTGTGACCCCACGAATGGATTCCTCGTTCGGAGAGCAATCCATTGGTGGGGTCATACGCTCGGTTCGAGTCCTGTTTAGCGACTCTGCAGCTCAAAACGCGTCTAGAGTTTTGGACGCCGGCGCCGGCTTTCGGGCCCACCGTGCACTGGGCAGAGTTCAGTGCGGAGTTGGCGATTTGCTTGTAAAAACTCTACGGACTGCGAATACTGTAACACAGTGTCGGGAACTTTGGAAGCCACTTCCTCCACACTAATGGCCGCATTGGTCGCGTTGTCCCGCAGCCGCCTGGAAGGCCAAGGTGGAGAGCGAGCGCGACTGGCTGCTGGCGGACGAGAAGCGGCGCAGCGACGAGAAGAAGAGACCGGGCAGGCCCAAGACGGCCGACGCCCTCTTCGGCATGGAGGGCTCCTTCAGGAAGATGGAGTTCGACTGAACCACCCAACTACTGCACTGTGTGTATAGCCTTGTTTGTGAATAATGATTGTAAATAAAGAAAACTGTTATCGATATGCGTCGTTGTTCTTTCCGTTCAAAATAATGTAAAAAAAAACATTTCACTTCACAGCCTGACATTTTTCTTCGGCTATGTTGGATCAAATCAGTCCACTTACAGTGTGCAGAACTGAAATACACGCACGAAGAATTCACTTACACTAAGTCGAGGTATAAAAACGAGTCTTGACTTTAAGGGCGCAAAGCGGCAGGGCGCGAGCAGAGCCTCTGCGCCCCGATCCGGCGGTGCTTGCAGTCGACGGGGAGGGAAACTGGTAACGCATGATGAATCACACGAAGGGCATCACAAGGCGGGCACGTGGGGCGGGGCTGGCGGGGCCTCGCCCCACAAGTGGGAAGTAAGTACGGCTCGGGGCGTCGGGGCGCCCTCCCGCCTCCTCTACCGCGCGGTCTCGTTCGCCTGGGCGCGCAGCTGCAGCTGCCGCAGCCCCGCCACCGCCGACTGGAAGCCCGCGTTGTAGTCCAGGGTCACCTCGTTGTAGATGTACTCCCGGCGGATGTCCTCGTAGAAGTCGTTCTCGTCGGGGCCCGACACCAGCGCGCCGTACAGCACCTGGGGGTTGGGCGCGGGCCTGGCCAGGGCGCCCCAGTCGCAGACGGCGGGCCTGTCGGGGCACGAGCTGGCGGCGTGGTGCGGCTGCGTGGGCCACCGCCGCCCGAAGCCCACCACGAAGCTGCGGCCCGCGTCGCCCAGCATGTAGTGGATCTGGCGGCGCGCGAAGTCGCGGTACTGCTCGGGCTGGATGCCGGCGTCCGCGGCCTGCGCGCCAAGCGGCGCCAAGAGGAAAGGAAATGCTTGAGAATCGAGGCGCATGCTCGCTCTGTCTCTCTCGCACCCATACGGAACGCCCTAGGAGTGCGACAGAGACAGAGCGACGAACACGACTCTCGGAATCGGTCCCGACCTGCAGGCAGACGAAGGCGATGTTGGCGGCGTGGCACAGCGTCCCGGACTTCTCCACGTACAGCAGGCCCTTGGGCGTGCGCTTCTGGTGCAGCACGCTGTGGTCGCAGAAGGCCCTGGCGGCGTCGCGGTACTCCTGCAGCCCCGTCAGCTGCGCCAGCAGCACCTGCAGCACCGCCACCAGGCCGTCAACACCTTGAGGGGGACCGCGAGGGTGGAGCAGGAGCCCCCGAAGAGGACGTACCTGGACCCCGGCCACCTTGCGGTTGTAGAAGAACTCGGCGGGGCGGTCGCGCAGCAGGAACTGCGTGTAGTGGTGCTCGGCCTCGTCCAGGAACACGCTCTCCTTGGTGGCGCGGTACAGCCACGCCGCGGCCCAGGCCAGCTCGTCGCCGTAGTCGGTGGACCTGCAAAGGCTCAGTGTGTTGTTGCTCTGTCTCTCTCGCACCCCGAAAGAAAGTCCCCCGAGCGGGAAGAGTCCTCCGAGCGCTCTACTCACTCGTAGTACTGGGCCGCGCCCTTGATGGCCTGGTGGTAGAGGCCGCGGTGCTGGGTGGCGAAGCGGTACAGCTGCCGGGCGTGCAGGAGGCACAGCGCGGAGTAGTCCGGGTCCGAGTCCCTCGTCACCACGGCCACGGCGGCCAGCGCTGCGGCGGTCTCGCCCGCCAGGTCGGATCCTGCAAACCAGACCACTCAGCCGGCCGCCCGGCAACTCCAGCGGCGCGCTGCCGCATGGGTTGCCTGCCGCACGGCGCACGGCGCGCTCCATCGCTTACCCGGGTGCTCGCGGTCGATCTTGTAGGCGGGCCTGGTCATGTTGAGCTCCTCCGGGCGGCCCCAGTAGCGGTGGTCCAGGCTGAAGTCGCCGACCTGGCCGTACAGCTCGTCGGGCGACACGTGGCAGCGGATGAAGTAGTCCGCGGCCCAGCGCACGGCGCCCTCGGCCTGGCGCCACTGGCCGGCCGCGCGGTACGCGTCGCCGTACGCCGCCAAGCCCCAGGCCAGCAGCGTCGTGGTGGACGCCATCGTGAAGCTGAACTTGACGAAGTCGCCGGCTGTGGAGAAGCAGCTCGTTACGCACGTCGGCCAGGGGACTGATTCCGCACCTCACTGTTGTCTCTCTCTCTCCCTCGCACTCCATGCGGCGTTCCCGAGGGTGCGAGAGAGACAGAGCGGCGACAGCGCTGTTCGGAATCGCCCTGCAGAAGCGAACCAGTTACCACCGGTCCTTTCCCCACCGTCGTAGTAGCCGCCCGAGAGGTCCTCCCCGCGCTGCCCGCGGTCGTCCAGCGCCGAGTCGCCGCGCCACGCCACCCTGTTGTCGGCGGGGAGGCGGCCGGAGCGCTGCGCCTCGTAGAACAGCAGCGACAGCCGCAGCACCTCGTCGTAGTCGTACCTGAGGAAGAGGGAAGGGAACGAGTGAGAAACGTTGCGTCTGGAGTGTGGGGCCCAAGGTGGGGCCGGCAGGCACGGACGGTCGGGCGGATACGGACGTGGCGGTGGCGTTGTTGGCCGCCCGGGGCGCCGGAGGGCTGCCGCCAAGGCTGCCGTCGTGGGAATACCGCACGCGGTGCAGCCACGACCGCGGGGCGGTGACAGCGGCGTGGACGCCCTCGCCGCCGGGGCTCGACGGGGCGTCGCGGAGCAGCGAGAAGGACTCCACACCCGCCTGCACGCTGTCAAACACGTTGGAGGCCGTTGTGCTGGAGGCCGTAGTGCTGGAGGCCGTAGTGCTGGAGGCCGTAGTGCTCGAGACCGTAATACTGGAGGCCGATGCACTGGAGGCCGTAGTGATGGAGGCCGTAGTGATGGAGGCCGTAGTGCTGGAGGCCGTCGTGCTGGAGGCCGTAGTGCTGGAGGCCGGCAAACTGGAGGCCGATGCACTGGAGGCCGTCGAGCTGGAGGATGGCGCGCTGGAGGCGTCGTCCGTGGACATCGGAATGGACACGGCTTCCTCGACCCGAAGGGGCCCCGAGGGTGGCGGTGCCCCCACTGCCGACAGAGCTAGCAGGAGCACGCCGACGACCAGCAGCCTCGCCGAATGCATCTGCGAATGAATTCAAAGTGCCGCAAATTACAGCGGTGCTACGTGCCTCGCCTCGCGGATTAAAAATCCCCGCAGATCCTCCCGGAGACCCCGAGCGGCCCGAGCCCCGAGGCCGTCCGTGTGTCCAGTGTGTCAGAGAGAGAAACAAGACGCCGGAAGCGTCTTGCTCGGCTTGCTCCGGTTCGGCTTCGGCCGCACACACTCACACTTTTCCTCGGGCGGTGATGGATAACATCTCTTGCGCTCGCCTTTCGTTCTCGCCCTATTTTTTTAGATTTTTAAATCCGGATTGGTTTGGTAGTACGACATGTGTTCCGGGACCGACCGTGCCGCGGGGTGGAGGGTCGGAGGGGCGGAGGGGTGGAGTCGACGGGGACGTGACTCAAGCGACCGCGTCTCCCCGCTGTCTCGCCCGCCCGGCATCCATGCACCGGCTGCACCATGCACCGGCTGCACCATGCACCGGTACCGCGGCCTCGGATTCCGATCGGAGGGCTTCGGCAGGGCCAAGGGTCTCCGGGGCCAAGGGGCGCTCCGTGTCTAAAGTGATTGATGCCGACGCTGCAGACTGATTCCGAGAGTTGCTCTGTCTCTCTCGCACCTATAGGGGATGCTCCATGAGTGCGAGAGAAACAGAGCGACGAATACGACTCTCTGAATCAGTGACGCCGCCGACGATGCCGACGTCAAACGCGCCTGGAAAATCGGATAGGTTAGGTTAGGTCAGGAGGGAACTCCTAGGCGTCCATGATGGACATGAAGGTGAGGCGGTGCGTGTGTTTCGCTGTGTGACTCCACTCGACTAGGGCGCTGGTGATGGATAGTGAGATGCAAGTGACTGGCGGGCGGGCGGACTGCGGCCGGGGAAGACCCACGCCAGACCCAGGGTAGGCAACACGCCGGACGCGACTCGGCACTCGACGCCGTGCCGTTGAACCGTTGAACCAGCCAGAGGCGCCGGTTCGGTGTCCGCTAGCAGAGCGCCGCAGAGCGCTGAGGCCGAGGCTGTGGCGGTCTGTTCAAACAAGGCGGCTTGGGCCCCAGCGGTGGCCCCACGCGGGGGCCCGGCCCACGTCCACGGGCACGTCGCGGCGCGGGTAGGCGCGGGGCATGACATGGCGGACTAACTACCCCCCCCCCCCCTTTCCCCTCCTTCCGACATTGCCCGGAGCGTTATACCGCTCACACACCACGTGTTGTTTTGACACACGTACACACTCACACACAGATGCACGCAGGTAACGAGTTGGCCGGGAAGTGGGGAAGGCGCAAACGTGGACGCGGAGGAACACCCGAAGCGCGAAAAAAGAGACAGACACAGACAGCAGGTCGCGAAGGGAATCGCCGCCTCGCCTCACCTTGGCTGGAGGGTTGAGTGTTGGTCGAGGGGGTTGTCGTTGTCGTGTCCCCCGCGGCCTGCAGCGTGCTGGAGCGTGCTGGAGCGTGCTGGACCGAGCGCTGCACCGAGAGCTGGTCAATCACTCGCTCACTCGGCACTCCAGGCTCCGCAGCAACAGCAGGACGGCGCGCCGCCGCGGCGACCACCGACGGCACAAGTTTTCCTTGACGTGGTTGGCAAAGCCCGGCCGCCCCGCATCGCAAGACTTCATTTAAGGTGTTCTCGGAAGCCCGCGTGCCGTGCCGTGCCGTGCCGTGCCGTGCCGTGCCGGGGCGTCGGCGGGCCGAGGGCACGGGCCGCGTTGTTGCACCGGCCGCCCAGTTGCAGGGAAGGCAGGGAAGGCAGCGAAGGCAGCGGCCTGGGCTCGGCCCTTCGGTGCCCTTCGGCGTCACTGGCGTCCTGCCTGCCGCTGTCAGTGGCCTTCTCAGCTCCAGGCTGTCCAGGCTCGGCCTGCGCGCCGTCGCCGTGCTTCTCGGAGCGCCACGCCGCGCGGACTGGAGTGGAGACTGGACCGGCGGCAACTGATTGGAGTGGGCCCGGCATCTTGACGCATGGACTCCCCCGCCCCACCACCCTCACCCCTTCCGCCGCCTGGAGCAAGCCCCCCTCCCCCTCCCCCGCGCGCGTTTGTCCGACGACTTGTTGCAGCAGCAGCTCATGCCATTTGCCCCTCAACGGGTAAATTCCCCTGCCGCTGTGCCCGGCTGTGCCGCCGCCAGGCCCGCCAGGCCCGCCAGGCTGGTGTGCAGGCATGCCTACGTGCAACGCGTGGCGGCGCTGCCGATGACTGTGTTTTGCAACCCGATTGCAGCTAATGATTGTGACGCGACTTGCCTCGTCGCTCTGTCTCTCTCGTATGCACTCAGGCAGTGCGAGATGCGAGAGAGAGGAACAGACCGCCCGCTCGGAATCAGCCCCGGCGGGGAAAGACCGGGGAGGAGGCGCTCTCGATGCTCTCGATGGGGCGGGGAAGGGAAGGAACGACAAACGCGAGAGTCAAACCAAGGCCAGTACTTTTATTGATTGATTCATTCAATATTTTGGAATATCCACAGAGACACAGTGAAACAGGGGGATGGCTGGGAATGGTGATAGCTAGCTGTGGTAAGCAAAAGAACTAAAACAGGAATGAGACGCCTTTTACATTATACCAAAACATAGAATGTGTCAAATAAACAGGCTTGATCATTAGAATAATATATTTCTATATGTATAGAAGAAGCTCTATTATATAACTGGAAACATAATTGTGAAAAGAAAAACAAAGAAATTGGTAACTGGTAAACATAGCATCCTAAATTTAAAAAAAAAATCATCATAAAATAATTACAACCTAATGAAAGATTGATAGCATATAAATATTTTCATTCGGTTACAGCTTGGGCATCCTAGGCCTCGGTCAGCGGTCTTAACATATCTTTGGGTTAAATACACACAAAAAATAGACAAAATAAAAATAAATTGGACAAAGGAAAAAAACAAACTATAACAACTTCAAAGCATATAACAGCATTCAAAGATAAACCCATGCAGGCTGGGTGTGGGAATAGCTCCAAATGTAATAGATTTGTACCACAAAAAATAAGGGTTTTGTTTGATTTTAAAAACAAAGCCAAAATAGAAATGATTAAAAGTGTTCAAAATAAAGGAAACAACAAAGTGGTCAATTATATACAGGCGTCTAAATTACATAAATCTAATCCACAATTCCAAACAGTGAACAGTGCCATAGCACAATAGCACTATTCAAGAGTCAGGTTGAACCTCAAGTCACAAAATTAGAAACATCTTGGAACCTGGTAATTAATTTCACAATATATGGCACAGAGCATGGAGCAATAATTACACAATCTCACGATACATCATTACTCACAATCAAATTCGTATTTCACATTTGTGATCATCAATACATTATACAGCAGGATTGAAGCCTTAAACATTCCTAGAACAATACATGACAATCAAATTTGATATTCATCTTCAGCTAAGGGCGCCTTCAATCAGTCTCAGTTTAAAACAGTAAGCTGGGCATTCTACTAAAAAATATACTTCATTCTCTGAAAGCTTAAGATGACAGTATCTGAGTGTCTTGTTCGAGATCTCACTAACTCGTGAGATTTTATAGCATGCTTTCCCAGACACATTTCAATCTCATGTCAAAGACATCAAACTCAGTAAGGCACCATTGCAAGGCAAATTTAGGAACATTAGTAGTTGTCTAACAACATAGAACTTAAATAAAAGTACCAAGGACCATGATAACACATATGAGCATCAAGCAATCGAGACAAGTCCTAAGATGTAAATATACAGTACACACAAACTGAAAAATGTTTTAAACTAACAATCCAACACCATAGGGTTTAGTCAACCATGACACTGTCTTTAAACCTACTTCATAGAAGTGCTTAAAGTTATGCAAGGCACAGTGAAGTACAGAACCTCCTGCACTGTTGAACATGCCTCTTAACAAAGTCTTTAGTGCTTAAACTTAAGATGACTAAATTGTGATGCTATATAAAATTATTGTCAAGAAGTCCAGACAACTGAGGAGAGAAATAAATAAGAGACTTTGTAGGAAATGGCGGGTAGCAACCTGTCTCTACATCTACAAGGAAAGTTAACCCCTACCAAATCAGGAAGTGGAATGTTTGCATAACAGGAAGGGGGCAACACTCCCCCATTTCCATCCCAGGAATAAATAAATAAAAATAAAACTAGAACAAAGTAATTCAATCTTGATTGAAAAATAAAATTCTGGAGATTCATCTGATTATTAATGACAAGCATAATTTAAAACTTTCCTAAAACTAAAACCTAGCTAAGACTTGCATTATACATTCAAAAAGATTAAAAATATTGAAAAGGGAATGTATGAAAAGTTCACACTAAGTAAAATTGGTACAGATCTTTTAAAACAACAGTTTCATGAAAGTCAATATAAAAACCAATGTTCTACAATGAAACTGATCCCTTGAGATTTCACATATCTCTTATCGTCTCTACATAATACATACATTTATATATTGCTTGTTGAAAGCTCCTAAATTTCCTATTAACGGAAGTTAACATTGACACATATTGTGGAATGATGAGCCATGGCCAGGTGTCCACACAAAGAACACAGCTGCCTTTGAACAGAAATACTTCTTCACAAACAGTTCTTTTGTGTTAGATTTGAATAAAAATAATTCTGTTTGTACAAGTTGTTTATGCTGAGAATTTCTAAACAACACTAGGAGATAGGTAGAATGGAATGTTTACAAAACTGCCAATACTTATCACAAGACAAAGCAGGCAGAATAACACTGAAAGAGAATGTTAGCCATTCTGTTAGCTGGAATGCTAAACAGTAGAATGTAAGTTAAAGTGCAGTGCTTTCAACTGGGGTGCAGGTGTCAGCAAAGCCACACGAGCCGTTCGCGGTGATAGGTTGGCCTTCCTTTATAGCATGGAGGGATGGGGGCCCGGGACGCACGCTCTCGGGCGTTCGGGCTTCCGGTGTGGTGGACTCACTCGAATTAGGACTGCGACCTGACGGTACAAAAAGAAAAAAAATAGCAAAAGTCTCAAAACCAAGTCAAAAATTTGTCATTAATTGTTCATTAATTTAGTCCATACATACCAGAATAGTTGAATATGTCCATTTTCAGATCATTAGGAAGAGAGGCACCAACAGAAATGTGCATGGCAAGACCTTCTAACCATACTTCCATTACTTCAAAAGGTGGTCTGAAAATGAGAAAAAAAAATCCGTTTAACATATAGGTGTGAAGTTCCTTAAAGGTCAATAAAAGAAGAAATAAACAAACACTAACCTTCTGTCAGGATTGAGATCACAACAGAGGAAGGCAATTTTGTAGAAAGGTTCAGGGCAAGTGGAACAAAATTTATCACGAAAAATGGTTTGATTCAAGCCAAAGTCTGAGGATCTTGGCAGGTAGTCTGGGTCAGCAAGCACTCTTCCAATAATCTCACAAAGTACAATACCAAATGAGAAAACATCAACCTTCTCATCATACTTGTTTCCCTTCATCATTTCTGGAGCCATCCAATAGGGATTGCCAACAACAGTGTATCTTTTCTTTCTTTCACACCGTCTATTGCCAACTCCACGCTTGTTGCCATAACGTCTTCTATCAGCACCCATATTGACATTGGGTTGACTTTGTGAAATAATTCTTGCAAGACCAAAGTCTGCCACAATTACTGTCTTGTCCTCCCTGACAAGACAATTGTTTGAATTGAGATCTCGATGAATTATATTTCTCTGATGAAGATATGCCATTCCAGATGCTATGTCTTTTGCAAAGTTGATCCGCTGCTCCCATGGTAAGGGTTCTGATAGATCATGTACTAGGTCCTTTAAGGTACCACCTGGCACATACTCAGTCACCAGATGGAGTCTTTTGTCTTTATAAAGGACACCAATAAATCTTAAAACATTACTATGGTGCAAGCTACGTAACACAGCAACCTGGGAACCAGAATTAAATATTAGGGACAAGTTTTTACTGAAACTTGCAGCTGAACAAAATTAATAACTCTGGAAAAGTTGTTCTGTACCTCTTTGACAAAGTTTTTCTGTGCTTCCTCATCAACACGATACAGCTCTTTCAGAACCATTACCTCATTAGTTTCTCGATGGGTAACTTTGTAAACTTGACCAAAGAATCCCTTCCCTAAAAGCTCTCCTTTGACAAGATCCGATGCCCTAAAAATACGCTGGTTCTTTGGTTCAACTCTGAATGAGTGAGTTCTGGAAAGGTCACATGGGCCTTCCCTGCTTGCAGGTGGAGATCTGTAATAAATTCATCATCTTTCAGATAAACAATATCTTGAAGAAGGACAACTTCAATGGAATTATAACACAACACAACTGACCCTTCCAATAGTCTTGACATGGATGATGACCGCTCCTTGTCACAATTTCCTCGATTTCTGCGCAATTGTCTGGATGATCTTGAGCTACTCATATAGCCCTCATCTTTCCGTCGAAATATTCTCTCTCTGTCAGAGACTGGCTTAGAGCTACTGGTACTTTGACATGTCACTTCAGTATTGCAACTGTTTGGACTTGAAGCACTGTTAACAATATCACAATCTTTATCTTTCTTCTTGCTGATGTCTGCAAGAGCTTCTATAGCACTATTGACTATTTGAGAAGGAAAAAGCAGTCTTCTACTCAGAGCATCAGGGTCATGCTCTATAGTAAGCTGCAATAAATAACGTAATGTAGAGGCCATTTCAAAATAAAGAACTGACAAAACACTAAATTTTTGTTGTATTGTATATTTTTAAATACCTGAAGAGACTGGTCAGAGCATCGAATTAGGTTTTCTATGTCTTGAATTGGCTGGTTTCCAATTGGAGATCCATTCACTTCCAATATTCTGTCACCAATGTGTAAGGACATAAGATCTGCACTCATATCCAATCTGAAAATTTTGAAACAGTTATTTTGAAATTAGACATAAAGCATTTGTCAATTGTGGACACAGGTTGTCGATTTTCATAGGAATACAGTAGTTAAGAATAACAAAAGCAGTCTAGACAAAAAGTTGGAAAAGCTAGAAGCTGTGATCTGGACTATACTAATAAGTTATACACTGGCTAATGAAAGAAGTAAATACAGTTGAATGCGCACTTTGAGTGACAGAGTTCTAATGAGTGATAGATTATAGAAAACTGCTATATGAACTAAATACTGTGAAATATTTTACAGATATAAACTTGTAAAAAATAACATGTTAAAGTACAATAGCCCAGGTTTAGAATCAAATAAATTTGTTAAACAAACAAACAAACAAACTCATACCGTATTGCTCTTGGTTGGCATCTGAATGGAATGGATCGATTGAAGCGGAGTTCGCAGCAGAACCTAAAGGCTGCTGCCAATATGGACACTGCATATTCGTATACCTTGTGCCGTAGATTAGAAAGGAACCTGTAAAGCATTAGTTGTTATTGTGGTTATAGATCACAATATAAGTTTGTTATGTTCTTTAAGCCAGGAATGGGATGTCAATGACAAATGAATCATATAAGGCTTTATACAGTATGTTAAGAAAAATTTGTACAGTAGGTTCAATGCTAGATATTTCTAATTGATTTACAAATGTAAAAAAAAAATGGCTTAAAAGCCATTTACTTTAAATGATAACAAGTAAAATTTGACCAGAAGTTACACAGTAGTTATCATACATATTTACAAGCTTTGCTATGTATCTGCAGTGAAGATAAAAGGCATTCATGCACGTTAGGTGTGAACAGAAGTTAATTCTTAAAAAAAATAAATACCATGAGCTCCCTTTAATGAGCACATGCAGCATTACAAATTTGACTGAAGAACTTACTGGGATATTCGCATGCCTTGGCCTGCTACTGGTCTTCCATGAGCACTTTCTAAGCTCAGTTTGATCCCTCTTTGACCAGTGTCTCCAACAGCAGGTATTTCAACTAATCGGATGGAATGTGGTTTACGGACAAAGGGAGCAGCTGCCATGGATTTGGAAAGAGGCTGCATTTGGCGTTTGTAGCAGACACCACTGAAATTAAAGAACTATATTATGACACCTAAAACAAAACAAAATACCATGGGATGGATTTAAATTTTAAAATACCCACCAGTAGAGCTTTGAACGCTCAACCAAGGCGTATGATTCACCATCACCAATAAAACATGAACATGAAGAGCACCGGAAGCATTCTGGGTGAAATTTATGATCTCCTGCGACCATAACTGGACCTGTAATAATCTGGAAACAGTCCATATTGAAATTAGTACAATGAACAGAAGACTACTACAGATGGCAAGAAAACAGTCAATGAGCCAATGAAAAACTCACCTGGGAACAGTCTTGACATGATTCTCCATATCTTGACCAATAATCATCTTTGCAGAAGAGAAGGCCATCTTTCTCAAAGTACCAAGTAGAAAGTGCAATATCACAAGCAGAGCACCTAAGGAAACAAATTTTAAGAAAAGCTGACATTGAAAGAAGATTAATACAGTACACATTTTAGAATTGTAATTTGAAACAAACCTGAAACATTCACTGTGCCAGTCCTGGTTAAGCGCTCGGATGTATTCATCGCTTACTTTGTTTAAGCACCCAGAGCAATAGGCAGGTAGGTGTGATACGTCCCCATCTGCCTCGTCAGGAGCATCGCCTAGGAACCAGCAGAAATTATGTCATAAAGCACAGGGTGTCTTTTAAAGTCATACATTTTTTAATATAACCTCTGACAGATGGTCCAATTTCGAAATTAAAAACAGACACACGCATAGCTCAAGCCCAGATAAAAGGACCATAAGCATTCGTTCAAAAAAAAAGTCTCGAATAAAAATACAACTAATTGTTTACAAGTTAACAATCAGAACCAAAATATTGTTGACAGATGCAAGACATGTCACAGACAAACGTCAAAATTTACGGGATGTCATCGTCTACAAACTTGACAAGGTATAGTCGTCAGGAAGGCAACACGTGCGCACAATCCGACTAATTAGCAAATCGTACCTCCTGCAGAGCTATTTTCCATCACAATTTCATTTATGTCCGAGGACCAAGTTGATCGTTCGATTTCATGGCATTTCGCTTATTTCACTGCCACCTTGACGTCAACACGAGGAACGTAAACAAACGTCTGCAGCGCCATCTGGGCGGCCGTGTTTTGTTTCCCGCGGCCTTCTGCCCGCCGCGCCGCCGTTTCGAATGTTGTTGTGTTGTTGCTTTTCAATTGCTTTTTGTCTGTACGAGGATTTCGTGTTTTGACTTCTTCCTTCAAACAAACCGACCTCAAGAAGACCCTTGCAGTTTGATCGGACGGGCCAGAGGTTAGTGAATTATGCGTTGCGGGCGACTAGAGCACACGAAGAGGACACGGACTTGGTAGGCTGACCACAAACGACCTCGCAAAAGACCCGGCACGGAAGTTCTTTCAATTTCAGCCCTCTCTAAAACCTAATTTAGAAAACGAAAACTAGGTGAGGTCGCCTCCTGCCCCCTCCAGGCACCGCGAGTGCCGCATGGATGGCCAGCAGAGCCAGCAGAGCGATTCCGAACGTCGCGCTCGTCTGTCTCTCTCGCACTGGTGGGGCGTGAAGGCGTTGCGCACGGGTGCGAGAGAGACAGAGCGACGGGACGCAGTCCGCGGTCCTGGTCCATTTGCCAGGGCCTCTCCGCGCCACTCGGTGCCGGCGCGACCACGGTCCCCGTCCTCCCCGTCCCCCCGTGCCCAGCGAGGTGCACTAGTGCCCCGGCCTCTATGCCCGCCGTTTCCGCAAAGCCATTGTCCGGGCCCCATTGACCCGTTTCCCTGATGCGTGAAGGCCGGCCTGGCGAGCAGCCTGGAAGGGTAGAGGAGCCTCTAGACTTTGAGCAGCTTGGTGGTCGCCGCGACGCCTCCCAGCAGACTGATTCCGAGAGTCGTTTACGTCGCTCTGTCTCTCTCGCACTCACGGGGCGTCCCTTGCAGATGCGAGAGAGACAGAGCGACGAAAACGAATCTCGGCATCCCCACGGCCAGGAAAAATACGTAGACCCTTCCCTGGCCCTTTTCAAGGCCCGCTTATCCTGAAGCCCGCCACCGCTACGTCGGCGCCCTGGATCCCTGGGACCGTACCGCGCCTGCTCGGTGTCGGAAGGTTTGGGCGACGCTGGACCCAAGTGGAAGCTTCCAGTGACACCAGTGGTACCTGGAGTACCTGGAGCCTGGAGGAGTGTGTGAGGCGACAAGCCACCCTATCAAGGGGGATATCTCGAGGCCCGTACGGTGCCGGGTACCGTTTGGCTCGAACGCCTTTCAACAGCGGGGCGGGGCGGGGCGGGGCGGGCAGGGCGGGCGCGCCAGATCTGTCGGATTCGAGTCAACCGAAAGGATGTGTGCAGCCCGTCCCGTCATGTGGCCACTGTGTCGGACTGTCGGCCCGTCATGTGTAGTCATGTGCCATCACGCAGTCACGTTCGCGTTCGCACCCACGCGGGTCGCTGCCCTTCGCTGCCCCTTCCGCTTTCCCTCGTCTATCTCTCTCTTTTATAGTGTCGTGGCCCAGGACTTTGGCGTGCTTCGAAGAGAGCAAAATAGGTTCTCGGCCGGACCCAGCTGGTATAGGACTCTATACCAGCCCAGTCCCACGGGAGTCCCGTGACGGAGGTCGGTGTCGGCGGGGCGCGCGGGGCGGCTCGCTGCACGTCCTAGAAAATTGCGAACACGTCGCCGGGCGTTGAACCCGCGCCGCGCAGACCGCGCCGGCTGCAGAGGCCGCGCAAATGTGGGCCAATACGGCTGCAAATGCGTGCAGAATGGCAGCCGGGCCGGCCGGGCCGCGCAGGCCTGCCCCGGACCGGATCGGGCGACCGCGACATGCGAGTCGAACCGCGCCATTATACCGGGGCTTTGCGAATCGAGGGCCGATGTGAGGCCCCCCCCCCCCCCTCCAGCTTGAAGCTGAGGACGAGTAACGAGCACGGAACGGGCACGCTCTGGGATTTTAGGCAATAGTCGAGTCAGGTGCGTACCTAGCCATAGGCTTCCTGGGAAAACCGGGAACCTCGCGTGAACCTTGCCGTTCGCCGTGAGAGAACCGCGGGTATCCGTCCGCAGGCCTCTAGGCTCCTGCTGCCTCTGTCTCCTTCTCGCACTCATGGGGCGTTCCATGAGGGCGCGACAGAGACTGAGAGCGACGGGGCTCTGGGCCGCCCGGTCCGCCGCCCCCGCGGGGCCGTCAGGGGGCCGTTAGAAGCCCCGGCCGGAATGGCGAATTAGCAACACCGCGCGCGTGTCTAATTTTGACAGTGGAACCACACGCGCCGTCGACCATCCATTCGCCACCATGTGAACTATGCGAACTCGCGACGCCGTGGCGCCTTTGCTGCTGTTGTGAGGGGCGCGGGGGAGTGGCGTAGAGTCGAATGTCCAGCTTTTAATTGAATGCATAAGCAGTGTGCTGTGCCCGAGGCTAGGCTGGCCAAGGCCCGCTGGAGCGGCTGGAGCGGCTGGAAGCCCAGGGTACCGCCAAGCAGCCACGAAGGGAGGAAGTCGGGGCTGCACCACCACACACACACACACACACCGGACCGGGAGAAAGCGCCTAACACTCACCACACACACACACACACACACACACACAGTCACAAGCATGCACACACACATACACAGTCGCGCACACACGCACCGGCACGCACGACTCACTAGCACGTTATCCGTTGAGTAAGGATGATAGATTGCCCGCAGCCTTGCACTGTCTTTTGTTGAATGGGCAGCGATAGGTTGTCTCGATCGCCAGACCCGATCTGCAGCAAATGCATAAGTTTTGATGTTCAGTCAGAGAAGCAGCAGAAACTTTACCCGGCCCGGCGCGGCGGGTCTCCTGGTTTCAGGGTTTCGTTCTTATCGCTGTGCGAGATGGATGGCCTTCTAGCGCCCTGGCGAGTTAGGACGGTTTCGCAGCGCCCAGGAAAGATGGGATGGTTTTCTTAGGAGTAGGAGGGGTCGGTCTGAGAGTGAGTACACCGTGAAATACCGCCGGCATTGAGGTGCGACTGTGCCAACTGGTTTCCAGCAACGCGTTTGTAAATGAAGTGATTAGTTTTAAACTGAGCGCGAGGTATAACGAGGCTCGCTGTTATTTCGAGCGATAAATCAGCTCGCGGGGTGTGACTCAACGGCTCAATCCGTCCGTCCGGTCGGCCCGTGCGGTGCGCTGGGAACGTCGTCGCATCGCACAGTGGGCCAGAAGACCGGCGGAGGCAACTAAAACTCTAGACGCGTTTTGAGCTCCAGAGTCGCTAAATGGGACTCGAAAAGAACGTGTGACCCCACCAATCGATTGCTCTCCGAACGAGTGGTGGGGTCACACGTTCGGTTCGAGTCCCATTTAGCGACTCTGGAGCTCAAAACGCGTCCAGAGTGTTGGCCGCTGTGCGTCGTCGTGATGGTCGCGGTGGCGCGTCACCACCAGTGGCGCGGACGTCATGGACGTCATGGACAGCGGTACCGGTACAGTCTGTCACTGCCTGACTGCCTGGAGTGAGTGTCTCGGTGTCTCGGAGGGCCGCCGTCTCCGTCACCGCCGTCGCCGTGCGAGGGGCCCGGGTGCCCCGGAGCCCGCCCCTCCCGCCCCGCCGCCGTGCCGCCGTACCGCCCCGCGGACTGCGCGCCGCGCCGCGCCGCTCCATGGAGAGCAAACGCAGTGGCCGGCCCGTCCCCGTCCCGTCCCGGCCCGACCCGTCCGCCAGTCGCCGCACGAACGCCGCCGGTTCCAGTCGCCCCAACACCACTCGCTGTTCCCGGCAGAGCGACGACCGGGCCGACGACGTCTACACCGACAAACACGTCATACTGCGTGAGTGTGTGCGCGCGTGCGTGTGTGTGTCCGCCAAGCGCTGGGAGGTGTCGTTTTTACGGACCCATAAAACCGCGCGAGCAAAACGGCCGTGTTTTCGGCTTGCCGGGATTCTAAAGTTTGAATTTGATGCACCCTCGTCAGGCGTGTTCGTGTTAGTGGCATTCCCTTCTGTCGTCGTCTCGGCTTTCGACTCGGCGGCTGCTCGGACGCGGCGTCGACGGCGTGCCTCTTGACGGCGTGCCTCTACCGACGTATGCGTGCGCGATGACGCCGCTTGGCATAGGCAGCGGTTCCGTTTGCCCGGGTCGGCAGTTTGGCCTGCCTGCCCGCCTGCCCGCGCCGCCGCGTTAGTGGTTCGTGCCTTGTCGCCGAAATGTACACCGCTACACTGCACGCTGCACACTGCACCGTGGACAGCCTGGAGGGAAGTCGGCTTGCTCTCATCGCCGTTTGAGAGGCACCGCCATCCTGGGCCATGGCCTGCAGCAGACCCATTCCGAGAGTCGTTTTCGTCGCTCTGTCTCTCTCGCACTCATGGAGCGTCCCGTATTCGTGTGAGAGAGACAGAGCGACGAAAACGACCCTCGGAATCAGGTTCCGCGGGGAAGTCCCTCGCCGATAGGGGCGTTTACGTCGGTTTACGCCGTGTACTGTATGCGCACCCCGCGCCAAGCCCTCGGCTAGACGGTAGACGCCGGTCCTTCCCCGTCCGTTTGGAAAGCGGCGTCCCCGCCAGGTCTTCGCCAGGTCCGCGTCGACCGCGCCTCGCCCGGGTCGCGCCAAAACGTGTCAACCGAAGAGAAGAAACGACCCGGCGCGCTGAGATGAGGCTCGTGCCATCCCAGTTCCATGCGTGAAAGTCAGAGGAACCGGCGGCCGACCGGCCCGCCCTTTGGGCCAGCCGGCCCGAAGTGACAAATGGGTGTCTTTTTATCGCACTGCCAGCATCAAAAAGCGGGCCTCTGCGGCGTCGTTTTGTTTTGGCACGCGTCAAATCGAAAAGGCCGCTTCTGCCCCTCCCCCTTCCTCGCGATCTTCACTTGATCTCGTGACCTAATTTTGCGCCCCCGGTTTTGGCCCCCGGTTGTTGACGGCCGCGTTGACGGCTGTTGCAGGAAGGAGTGCGGCCAGTGCAGCGCGCGGCGTAGAGGACTCCAGCGCCGTCCGGCCGTCCGGCACGAGGGCACCCGACCGGCATCATGAAGAACACCGTCATCAAGTGAGTAGCACCCTGCAGGCACCAGTCCGCCAAACGGTCGCCCGAACCTCGAACCTTGAACTTTGATCCGTGAGCCTTGAAGCTTGGCGACACTTGTCAGCCTCATGCTGCGAGACCTGCAAGACCTCTGAGAGTGCGTGACTGCGTGGCGGGCCTGCCTACCCGCGCCTTGCCGAGCACGGGGCGCCTATAGGCAGTCCCGCCGCACGTCGCTGTGCTGCGCGCCGCCGCCCGCCAGGCGTCGGCCGCCTCGCCGTGGCCAGGACATTCTTCGTGCTCGTTGCTCGCTGCTCGCGCGGTTTCCGTTCGTGTCGCGCGTTTTCGTTGTTTCTGCCGAGCCTTATCGGCTTTGTTTGTCGAGAGGCTGGCGGGCTGGGCCTCTAGCTCAATGCTCTCTCTCTCTCTGTCTTCCTCGCGCACTCGCGGAGCGCAGCGTGTGGGAGTGAGAGAGACGGCGCCACCGCGTTGGACTTCCCGGCGGCCGTGCCTCCGGCCTCGCCACTGGTTGGGCTGGCAGCGCTAGCAGTGTGGCGGCAGGCCCGGCAGCTCATCGGATAGGCCAGGCCCGCGGCCCGCCAGGCCCGCCAGGCCAGCCAGGCCGGGGCTTTCTTCGGCTCATCATTGGCAGAGGGAGAAATGCCGATAGGGCCCTGGGCGGCCTGAGCCCTCGGCTGGGCCCCGCGCGGCGACATGCGTGTGTGTGTGTGTCTATGCGAGTGGCGGGGGCGAAAGCGGCCCAGCGAAAGTGCGTGACTGTATTTCCCAAGAGTGATGCGAGTGATACAGTGTAAGGGTTAATAAGACAGCCTGACGGCCTAGTGCGGGTGTGTCCGAACAAGGCTTGTTCTGGACATGGTGATTCGGTTTAAGCACGGACCATGGCGACAGCTTTTCGGAAAAATAAACAAATGGCCTTTCATGGCGCCTGTTTTGCAGGCAGCTGAATTAGGCGCGTTGCTTTTGGCCGTGTGTGCGAATGGGCGCCTCTGACGGAGTGACGGAATGACGGGCCATCTTCCGGGGCAGCGTCGCGTGTCGTCCGGGTAAAGGTCGACGCTGTGCTGGGGCGGCGCGGAGTCCACCACCAGGTCGCCGTCAGCCGCCTGATACCGATGGGCCGTTTGGTCGCTCTGTCCCTCTCGCACTCATGGGGCGTCCCGTAGAGGCGTGAGAGAGACGGAGCGACCAAACGATGCTTCTGAATCAGGCGGCGGGCCGTCCGAAACGACTGGGGTGTGGCGCGGAGAGTACCGGCCCCCAGGAAGCCGCGGTCCGCTGCCAGCCCCGGAGACTTGTATGCGCTGCGGCGCTGGCAGCACGCGACGCTATGGCCTCGGGGGGCTGCAGGTGCTTCCGGACAGCGCTTTCGTCGCGCTGTCTCTCTCGCACTCGTGGGCCTTTCCGCAGGGGTGCGAGAGAGACAGGCTGCCGGCCAGTCAGTGAACTTGGCGGGGTGCTGGCGAGGGGCCTCCGCGGACGGCCTCGGCGCCCCGCGCATCTCCAAGTGGTGTGGTGTACGCGGCACGCCTCCGCCACGCCGGCCACGCGACGCGGACGTGCTGAGGAAGCGCCCCGTCGTGGAGGCCCTCTGCGCGTCCCGTGAGGGTGCGAGAGAGACGGAGCGAGCAAGCACACTGCTGGCGGTGCTGGCGCCTGGGCCGCCGTGCCGCCACTTTGCCGGCTGCCCCCGAAAGCAGTCGTGGGAACGGGAGCGGCCCGGCCAGGCCAGGCCAGTCAGCCTCGGCAAGGCTCGCCTTTCTGCGGTGGCAATTTCGGACGCGGTGCACGTGGGCGGCCTTGATCCCCAGTACCCCGTCCGCGCCGTCACCGTCACCGTCACCGTCATCGTGAGGTAACACCGCCAGGCCGCGAGTAAACGCTCTTCAACGCGCAGCATCGCACGGCTTCGGTTTCGCCCGGGTGGGGCGGCGTGCTCGCGGCCGGGCCCCGCGGGGTCGCTGCAGGGGTCCGCGACGTGATGTGGCGTCGGCGTCGACGTCGGCGTTGGGGGTCACGGAGCGCCGGGGTCGCGGCGCCTCTGCCGGCGGGTGGCCCGGGGCGCGCGCTTCTTGCTCTCGGCCGGATCCTGATCCACGTGGTCCGGATCAGGTCCGGATCAACGCCGCGACGCCTTTCACCGGCATGCCCACGCCGCGGCCCTCGGCGGCCTTCTGCGTGGAGCACAGCATCGCGTCGGCGGCGTCCAACCCCAGCGGGACTCGCGGCCAGAGCGTTCCGCTCCGATCCGCCGTGTAAACGCCCGGCCCGAAAAGCGAAGCGCGAAACGCGCCCGGCTGAAACGTGTGAAGCAGCGAGCAGCCTTGGTGAGCATTGCCAGCACTGCTCGTCACGCCTCATCGGAATGGGAAAAAGGGTCCCCGACTCGGCCATGCCGGCCATGCCCACTCGGCCGCGCGTGCTTCAAAAAGAGTGTCCACCTTTTTTCCACTTCGGCGGCCAGAGAGAGAGAGAGAGAGAGAGAGAGAGAGAGAGAGAGAGAGAGAGAGAGAGAGAGAGAGAGAGAAAGAGACGGAGGGCGGGCTGGGCGGGGCAGTCGCGGGCCCTCTCGGCGTGGCCGCCGTACCGCCCGCGTCCGGTCCCCGGTCGGCCGGCCGCGCGGGAGTGCGAGTGCTCGCGTGTCGGTGTACCGTACGTCCGTACGGCCGGGCCGCACGAGGGCTGGGTCGGCTGGGTCGCTCGCATTCTCCGGCGGCCGCTCGCCTAGGCTGCCCTGCAGTGCCGCAGTCCGACTCTGTCTCTCTCGCACCCCTGCGGGACTCCCAACAGTGCGAGAGCGACACAGCCACCCGAACACTGTTCGGAATCGAACTGCATGGATGGGTCCCACGTGCGCAACGATGCGTCTTAAGAACGGGTGTCGCGTTTGGTCACTGTCTCTCTCGCACTCATGGGCCGGTCCGTAGGGGTGCGAGCGAGACCAGGCGGTGCTGGCACTCGCACACACGTGACGCGCGCCGGCCTTGGAGGGCCTCGCTGCGGTCAAGCCCGGCAAGCCCGGCAAGCCCGGCAAGCCGCACCAGGTCGTAAACTTGGACGTTCCGTTGGGCCGACGGCGGACGACGGCGCACGACGACCAGCCTCCCGGCCTGACCCACATTTTAGAGAACGATAAACTCATCGCGGAGGAGCAGGTTGCCGCGCGGTCCTGGTGCAGCCGCCTGGTGCAGCAGGGCCTTCGGGGCCTTCATGGCGAAGAGAGGCCGGCAGTGGAGCGCGCCGCAAGGCCGTGCTTCAAATGTCACGCCGGCGTGATTCCGAGCAGTGCGCTTCTGTCGCTCTCGCACCGCTGCGGGACGCCCCGTGAGCGCGAGAGAGACAGAGGGAGGGTGCACCTCAAATCTGAAGTGACGGCGGCGCTCTTCCTTCCGGTGCAGCGCGGCGCCAGCCACGCCAGCCAACCCGACCGGCCTTACATAACGAGATATCGAAGCATCGAACATCGAACACAAATCTGCCGACCCGACGCCACCCTGGGGTACGAAAATAGACTCCGTACGTGTTGTAAACCATCTAACCATCCCGCCGGGCCGCTGGCCTCTGGGCTGGCTGTCGGCGGGGCGGCGGGGCGGCGCCGGGAAGGGAACGGGTTTGTTGTGGGGAAAGCAGCGTAGCACAGCGTAGCACAGCGTAGCGTCACTTGGAACTTGCTTAATACGGACGGCTGGTGGTGCCAAACAGTGCGTCGTCGCCCTGTCTCTCTCGCACCCCGGCGGTGGGCCCCACGAGTGCGAGAGGGACAGAGCGACGAAAAGGCGTCTCGTCGGCGACCTTCCAAGGGTATCACGACGCCGGGCCGAGGCCGCCGCCAGTGAGTCTAATCTTAATTGTGGCGCCAAAAACGCCGCCCTCGCCGGGGCGCGTTTTTGTAAGTTGTTCGCCCCGCAGCCGAAATGGCTGCTGCCGACGCGGTGACGCGGTGGGCACTGCAGTTAGTTCCAGTGCTGGTGCCGGCGCCTTGGGATGGCCGCCGTGTCGGCTGTCCGCGACTCAATCGCACCCAGCGTCACGCTTTCTATCCGCCGTCATTTTTCAATCCTATCCGACATATCCGACATGCAGAAACAAAAGCCGTGGCTCTGCGATTGTGTTTTTTCTCTTCTTTCTTTCCTTTCCCGGGGCGCGCGGCGCGCGGCGCGCCCACCGTGACCCGCGGTGTCCCTTTGGCGCCGCCGCCACCGCACAGTGGATTATCCAGAAGACCACCACACGCAGCAAGCCTCGCTCCTCACTGAGCCCGCGGAGTCCCAGGCATTCCCCGGTCGAACCCGCACAACCCCGTCCTGGACCTGGCCGTCGTGGACCTCTCTGCCTCCCTCACTCCCGCCTGGCGTGCCGGCCTGGCGTGCCCCGCGCGGTCCCGCCGCCGCCGCAGTCATAATAGCCAAGTCAGGAACTGGTTCCGTCATTCCGGCGTTCCGTCGTTCCGAGGGTCAAGCACCCCGCGGCCCGCGCGCTGCTTCAAGTGGTTTCTTCAATCGAGTGGAACATGGAACATGAAACGGTGTGGCGATGCCGATCGTCGTACAGGACCGCTGCTGCTGCGCGCCTTCCTTCCCACGACGGTGACGCGGGTCCAGGACAGGTCCAGGACAGGTCCGGGACCTCCAGGGCGCAGAGCACTGTCGCACCGTCCAGCTAACTGCTTTCGCACATCCGCCTCTCTCGCACTCACGGGACGTGCCGCTCCGTGGAGGTGCGAAGAGCGACGACCGACGACGACAAACTACGCAAACCGCCAGGACACAGCGGGCCCTCCTTGGAGCGTGCCGCCGTTGAACGCGTCCCGTAAACCCGTGTGGTAGTGGCGGTAGTGCTCGCCCACTGTGCGATGCGGCCGATGCGGCGACACCTCGGACCAGAGACCTCGGCCCTTCGGCCGCCGCGGTGCGCCGCGGTGGGGCACTACTGCTGCATCAGCGGGGCTGCGGCTTTCACCGACACACACATGCACGCACACACGCACACACACAAACGCACTT